TTGCCTCTATAGGTTGGCCCTACTTCGTATAGAGTTAAGTAATATCTCACAATATTGATAGTGCCAAAGTACTTGCCAATTCCTTTATCCTTCCTTACTATGACTGGTGTAGTGTCTCATAAAGTACTTGCAAAAACAGAACAAAAGATATCTTGATTAAGCAACACAAGCAGATGGCAACATTGTCCTTAAAATAAACACATCGATTTCCACCTCCGAAATGTTTAGTACCCTGAAATGGATTGATATGGAAAAAAGATGGGAGTTCAATAAAAAAATAAATTGATTTAATAAATTATGAATAATAGAGCCCCATCATATTTATATATTATGTTCACCCTGTCCGTCAATACTCATAGATACTCAACAAGGAATTCTGAAAATCAGTGTGGGCGTTATTATTCCAAGAATTAAAACAGAATGTGGAAAACGTGCCTTCTCAGTTAAATGGTGCTCTTCAGTGGAATAACCTACCCCACTCAATGCGAAATGCTCAGACCAAGAATACTTTTTGTTCTCTCTATTTTAAGGTGGACATGAAAGACTGGGCGAATTATCTTCAATTTGTAAGAAGGGTATTGAATTAAGTGAAAGTTTGACAAAATCTAGTGATGATCCGAAAATTATAGTTGACGGTCGAAAATATAAGTTCCCTTGTGGGAACTGTGATAAGCCAGTCAAATGTAATCAACACGGCCTTCTGTGTTCTTATTGTAAAAAATGGTTTCACACTAATTGTCAAGCTATCAGTTTTTCAGAGTACCGCAGGTTATATTATGAATGCCCTGATGAGAAGTGGAATTGTTTAACATGTTGTCTGCCATCTTTTTGTGAAGACGATTGTTTAGAGAAAGAAAGCCAAAACGAGGATAGACTAAAAGAAAACTATTTTAAGGTAACGCGCGTCACACCTGAAAAGCAAGCGATAGCAAGAATAATTCAGCCAAACCTCAAAGATGAAAACACTTCTCTTTTTCAAGAATTTGAAGAAAAGTTTAAAATTAAAGGTCTTCATTTTTTACACCTCAATGTGAGGTCTATTCTAAACAAGATATCGGAACTTAGAATTCTTTTTAAAAGAAAAAGGCTGTCTATTATTGCTTTCACTGAAACATGGTTAAACAATTCCATAAATGATGAAGAAATTGAAATAGACGGATATAAAATCATACGCCATGATCGATCCTCTGGCTCTGGAGGTGGTGTATGTTTCTATATCAAAAATGATATTGCATTTAATATTATGGATGCTATAAGTACTGGAGATACGGAATCCCTGTGGATAAATTTGCTTATACCAAGATCAAAACCAATTGTTGTTGGCGTTCTGTATCGACCTCCGAAAAACAATTTGTTTATCGAGAAATTGTCCAATATTCTTGATACATTAAAAAAGGATGACGAAATAATTCTTTTAGGAGACATGAATATTTGTCTTCTTCGCAAATCGCCACTGGCTAAAAAATATATTGACTTGTTGAGTCTTCATGGGTTTAGTCAACTCATTAAAGAGGCAACACGCGTTACACCTACATGTTCTTCTCTATTGGATCATATTGGTTGTACCAAAGAAAATAAAATAAGTCAAAGTGGTGTCATTGATCTAGGTATTAGCGACCATTATTTTACTTTCTGTACACGGAAAAATGTTAGACTGGCTATAGGTCATCACAGGACTAATGATATCAGATCCATGAAAAAATATACAGAAGAGTCTTTCAATCTTCAACTATCTGTTGTTGATTGGTCACGAATAACTGACTGTACAGATGTAAATGAGGCATGGTCAATATTTCAACATGTTTTTATCTCAAATTTGAATATGATAGCGCCACTGAAACGGATAAGAATAAAACAAAGATCAGAAACTTGGGTGACTAAAGATATTCTTTCCCTAATTCAAGAGAGAAATATAGTATACAAAAAATGGAGGAAAAGAGCAAAAGATGAGAAGCTCTATAAAAGATACAGAGTATTAAGAAATATGGTCCAAAGAGAGGTGAAAAGGGCTAAACTCGTTTACTTACAAAACAAGATAGAAGAAAATAAACAAGATTCGAAAAAACTTTGGCAGAATCTAAAAAGCTTAGGATTGAAAAATAAGAAGCGAAAAGAACAAGAATCTGTCATTAAAATTGATGGGGAATTATGTCATGATAAGATGGCCATCGCTGATGAATTCAATGCTCATTTCACAAATGTGGCTGCCAAATTAGTAGACAAACTCCCCCCTTCCAAAGACTTTTTCAGCGCAGACAATGATTGTATTCGTGACTTTTACGAAAGAAAAGGTGTACGTGAAAACAGCTTCGAGTTATTACCAATCAGTGAACAATTTGTTTTCAAAGAGTTACGTAAGTTGAATGTATCAAAAAGTACTGGGTTAGACTTGATTCCAGCTAAATTTCTAAAAGATGGTGCGAAGGTTTTATTTAAGCCTCTAAGTTACTTAATGAACCTATCTATCTTGACGAGTACTTTTCCAGAGGATATGAAAATAGCAAAAGTGACTCCACTTTATAAAAAGAAAGATAAAACTGATGTTAGCAACTATAGACCTATTAGTGTTTTAAGCGTAGCATCAAAGATTCTAGAAAAATCGGTCTGTGTTCAAATTGAAAGATACTTCAAAGAAAATGATATAATTTATGAATTTCAATCTGGTTTTCGACATGATTATTCGACTGAAACATGTCTAATTCATTTGACTGATTATTTGAGGAGAGAAACTTCCCAAGGGCGCTTTGTTGGTATGGTGCTCCTTGATCTGCAAAAAGCTTTTGATACAGTTAATCATTGCGTCTTATTGAAGAAGTTACAACTAATGGGTTTTGATAAGGCAAGTTTAGATTGGTTTAGATCCTACTTATCTAATCGGCACCAAGTAGTGGCCATTCATGATATTCGTTCCAAACTAATGCCTATAACTTGCGGTGTTCCTCAGGGAAGCATTTTAGGCCCAATTCTATTTTCAAGTTATATAAATGATATGTGTATTTGTATAAAAGACTTCAAACTATTATTGTACGCAGATGACAGCGTACTACTCTATTCAAATCCTGATCCTAAATATATTGAGGAAAAGCTCAGTGAACAGCTGTCTACGTGTGTCGATTGGATGACTGATAATAAGCTTTCTTTACACTTGGGAAAAACAGAAAGCATTTTATTTTGTTCTAAAAGTAGTTCTAAAAAGTCATTTGAATTCAAAGTGACACACAATAATCAAGCAATCAAGAGAAAAGAGTCTGTGAAGTATTTAGGCATTGAGTTGGCTAGCGCAATTTCATTTTCATCTTTAGTAGAATCAGTTGTAAAAAAAGCAAATTCTCGTCTGAAATTTTTGTACAGATATCAAAGTTGTATGGATTTAAAAGCAAGACGTACACTCTGTTTTGCTCTTATTCAATGTTTATTTGACTATGCTAACCCTGCATGGTATAGTAACATAAACAAGTCAGATCAAAAGAAGTTGAAGATTATACAGAACAAAATGGTGAGATTTATCAACTGTTCTGGTCCAAGAACTCATGTTGGCTACAGCGAACTTTCTAAAGCTGGTTTTCTTGAAGTCGACCAAAGATCAAAACAACTCGTATTGCATCATGTGCATAAAATATACCATACTAGGTCGAATCATTATATTCGATCCAACTTCGATCTTGTTACTGACGTACATGATTATAATACAAGAAATAGACGATTCAACTTTAACTTACCTGAAAGAGTAGGTAGTATTGGAAATTCGTTTTATTACAATGCCATAAAACATTGGAATTCCCTTCCCAATGGTGTAAAAGAAATAGGAAACTATGATCATTTTAAGAGGAAATTAAAGGAATACCTAATACTTGACAGTCAGAGAAGAGAAGTGAATGACATGTTATATGATTGAAATTTTTATTCTTCTGTCGGTTCATACTTTTTCATGTTGTATATACTTATGTTTTCGTACGTTATAGAATTTCTACAAATTCATCATTATTTTCCTCTTCTTCCTTCTCCTCTTTTTCTTCTTCTCCTTCTTTTTTTTCTTCTTGTACTTAATATCATTTCTATCATCAGTTTAATGTTGTTATTATTATTATCTTTAATAAGTAGTTCTTTTAATTTTCTTATCTGTCTGTAAATATTACTATTTTAACTTATTAATTTTATACATGTCTGTAAGGGACCCCACTGGAAATAAGCTCTCGAGCTTTCGTGGGTTATCCTGTTCAAGCTGACTTTTTTTGATCTGTTATTATTGTATATTGTTGTATGTTGGAAGCTTGTCGAATAAAAATCAATCAATCAATTAAGCAGCGATGTTAAAGATAGATCATTGCCTTTCTTTCTTTATTTCTTTCATGAATATTTACATAAATTCTCAATATAATCTGAACAGATCATTGATAATTCATTATTTCACTCTTATTCTTTACTTATTTTCTGTTATATATTACTATGATTGGTATATTCCCTCTGACGTGATGCGGGATCCCGCTTTGTCGGAGTAAAATCCAGAACCAGAAAAAAAAAATCCAGATATTGTTTATATTGTTTATATTGTTCAAAGAGTTTGTATCTTCATGTTGCATTTGTTTAAAGAGCCCCTGGAAAACAGTAATGTGATTACCGACGGGGCTACCCTGTTTTTATAAAACGAAATAAATAAATACACTTTTAAAAAGAAGACGGCTCCTCCCCCGGTGCTCAAATGGAGAGGGGGGGGGGGGCGTTGAGTAAAACAAAAATAGAGCGCCATATACCCCCCCCCCCCTTCAGATGCCAACTTGAAGCAGAATTCTTTTTACCAGAGGACGAAGTTTCTGCCACTATTCAAATCTGTTGTTGAGAGGCAATGCATGAACACCCATCCTCTATAAAGTTTTCAAAAACTACCTATAACGTGTGACGCCAGGGCAAATAAGAAACTTTGCGTCTCAAGTTAAATCCAAGTAAGTAAATAAAACGCCCACCAAAAGAGGGCAGGCTATTAATAATCGCTGTAGAATCTATTGACAACAACTGACTGGAGCTGAATTCGATTACGTTACGGTAAGCCTCCCGATTTTCTCGTGATGTCATTTATTTTAAGTAATCATAGCTTTAAACTTGTATGCAATCTCTTTATATGATAAATAACGATTCTAATGAGGCTTAGAACATGGTATTTATAGATCTAGATATGTACTGTGCGAGAAAAAGAAAGTCTGCGGGACCTTTGGTCACTCCATCACGGCATCAGACTCTAGCCCCCTAGAGCTGCCCGGTAGGTAACTCCAGGAAGCTCCGGCGTCGGCGTTACCCGGTAGCGAATTTTTTTTCCGTACTCGAGAGGGCAAATACCCCATGTGCGCATGCGCGTGGACTTGTGATTTCTCTGCTACTTCCCATACGAAATGTACATGTATTCGCATGTACTGTGCACGATTCGCGTTCTACGAGTAAACGATGGCATAGTAGTCTTCAAACACAGACTCTAATTTGCCAGTTTGACAAAACAATTACGCATATATCGTGCGTAGCAATAGTACTAGTATTCAAGTCTGAGTAGTTGTATGATTCAGACATTTTAGTGCTTACAGAAATGCATCCCAAATTGAATAGCATGGTATAGTAGTCTGCAAGCACAGACGCTAATCGGACAGTTTGACAACATAGTGTCTTGAGTAGTGCTTTATATTCAAATATGTGTAGTTTTATGATTCAGACCCTACTGGTGCGTGTATTGGAAAGGCATCTCAACTTGCAGAGTGGCATAGTAGTCTGCAAGCACAGACGCTAATCTGACAGTTTGACAAAATAGTGTTATTCAAGTCTGAGTAGTTTTATGATTCAGACCCTACTGGTGCGTGTATTGGAAATGCACCTCAACTTATAGAGTGGCATAGTAGTATGCAAGCACAGACTCTCCTTTGACAGTTTGACAGAATAATATAGGCCTATTGTGTATTGAGTAGTGCTTTTATTCAAGTTTTCGTAGTTTTCTATGACCTCATGGTGTGTGGGTTTGTTCAGAGCCAGAAGGGCATTCGTTGTGTTAAGAGTTAACATCCTTCTGGCTCTCAGCAGACCATGATTATAAATAAAAGTAATACAGAGAGTGCGAGCATACTGGAGGGAGGGCTAGAGAGAGAGAGAGAGAGAGAGAGAGAAAGAGAGAGAGATATGGAGAGAGAGAGAGAGAGAGAGAGAAAGAGTGTGAGAGAGCAGTGGCACAATACATAGGCCTACCATGGGGTCTGGAATCATTAAACTACACAAACTTGCATAAAATCACTACTCATCAATACACAATATATTATTATGTCCTTGCAGACTACTATACTACACTCTACACATTGAGATGCATTTCTAACGCACGCACCAGTAGGGTCTGAATCATACATCTACGCAGACTTGAATAAAGTACTTCTCAGCACACTACTAGTATGTTGTCAAACTGTCAGATTAGCGTCTGTGCTTGCAGACTACTATACCATTCTATACAAGTTGGCGACTTGAATAAAGTACTTCTCAGCACACTACTAGTATGTTGTCAAACTGTCAGATTAGCGTCTGTGCTTGCAGACTACTATACCATTCTATACAAGTTGCAATGTATTTCCATATGCACTACTGGGTCTGAATCATACAACTACACAGACTTGAATAAGCACATCGCGACACATACGCATATTGATTTGTCAAACTGGCAAATCAGAGTCTGTGTTTGAAGACTACTATGCCATCGTTTACTCGTAGAACGCGAATCGTGCACAGTAGATGCGAATACATGTACATTTCGTATGGGAAGTAGCAGAGAAATCATAAGTCCACGCGCATGCGCACATGGGATTTTTGCTCTCTCGAGTACGGAAAAAAAATTCGCTACCCGGTAGCGAGTTTAAGGCACGCGCAGTGCAGTGAGTGTGGATGAAGCTGAACTGAAGCAACACTATATCTTGGCCAGTGAGCTATAAAGTTGTCTCAGACTCTGAGCGTGTGATTGCCATTGCGTGGAATACTGCACTGCAAAATTTGCCTACATTTTATGAAATTATGACATGTCACTGATACTTGTGGTTCAAGTTGGTTGGTTGGTCCTCCACAATATAGATTACTCGTCTGAGTTTTAACTGGAGGTACGTATAGTATTGGGTGGTAGTCGACTGTATTTGAATCACTGTGGCTGACTTCAAAATACATTAGACTAGGACTTCTATTTCTACTTAAAACTGTCTTAAATAACAAAACAAAAACAGCTTTGGGAATGGAAGGACATTTTTAATTCATTATAAAAATTGCTTGTGTTTTGTGAGTTGTATAGAAAGGCTTTTTTGCTAATAATTTGATCTCTTTGTCTGTGTTCAGTAAATCCAGAAGATACAGAATGAAGCACTCGGTTGCAGGCGGAGCTGCCGCTATTCTTGAGAAGTCCAGAAGTCGTATGAGAGGTCAGCACTTTACATTAGATGGTAGAGGGACCTCCAAGAAAACTGAACCAAAACAGCCAAGCAAGAACACCGAAGATGATGACATTGCTGTGAGTATCATGTGCTGCAGGCATTCATATTCATTGATGGTTGGTCATCTCAACAAAACTCCCAATTGTTTTGATGGCTCTCCTAATTCTCACATTACTGTTCTTTTTTGTAATGTATTAGGACAAGTAACAAAATTAATTGTTTTTTTAAAAGATCAGTGAGGGAAGCCCTTAAGTTATTTTGGGGATTTGTTGTTATTTGTTTAAAGATGGCAGCCATTTATATAAGGGCTGCTGAGAGAAAGCTTTACTTTATCACAGAAGTTTGTCTTCAGTTTGTCAACTCAGAAACAAAAATCAGAAATCAAATCATTTTCTCTCTCTGTCACAGACCACATACATGTACAAGCACCGTACAGTGCAAAAAGTTGGTGCTTGTCTGTGGTAAATAACTATGCACTACAAACAAAATATAGTGGCACAGCAGTATGGTATTGTTCTTTTAATCAATGTGCTACGTTCAAACTACAGAGTATACATGTACATAGAGATCTTAACAATATTGAAGCGGCATGCCACCACCAAGAAATGTTGCGGACAGGGGTAAGAAACACATAATTTGTGATACTTTGCCTTAGCCCTTAGACTGTATATATTTCATGTATTTTTAATGTATTTGCTTGAACCTAAATTAAGGAATTTACTTTACTTGAATATTTAGATAGAGGACCAATCGCCTCAAAGGAAAGAAAAAATAATCTGTACAAAACTTGATGACACATCCTATGGGTTAACAGAGTATGAACAGTTCAGGAGTATAAAGAAAACACAGTATTACAAGACCCAGCACATGAAACCAAAGATGGTTTGGGTTGTGTACTTGCATTTTTTTTAAAGTTTGGGTCTACTTCTGAAAGAGGAGAATATCAGCTTCAAATTGGTAAATTGCGACTCATCAAAGTTGCATGTTCCTAACCCAATCAAAAATGAGATGAATTCCAGTCTTATAGAATACTAGGGGACAGAAAAATGCATTTTGATTTTAGAATGTGTAATTTTTTCAAGTGATCTGACTCACAAGAGGTTTGCAAGTGCTGCAAGGTGACAAAAGAAGGATTAGAACTGTAAAAGTAGAGGTTTCTGTGAAGGAATTATCACAATGTCCTAGAACACTAATGAGCACATCCTGTTCCTTATGTCTCCAAGGAAATATTGTAATAGCTTACTCTGTTTTTAGGACTATAGGAGATCAAAAAGAGACCAGTTGCCAGGGTCATAACAAACTCAAGATCATACAAACGTAGGTCAACAAAAGGTGCCCAACTTTTAGAGTATTTGATGCTTTCAATTTTTTAAAAACTACTTACATGTAGAAGAAAATATACTCTTGCGAGAAAAACCGGTACTAAAAAGTAAGATTTGACCTTCCTGTCCAAATGCACATTTAATGTGCTCCAGGGGCGGCCGAGCAACTTCCAAAGTGGGGTGGGGGGGGGGGGGGCACCAAGAAAAAAGGGCACCTACAAAGGGAAATCTCAAAGCGAAAAAATACAATTTTTTTTAGACATTGGTATGTAATACATTGTGATAACATTATCAGGGATGATTTCAATATTTGTTTCACTTTATACACCATACAAGATATTGCTTAAGCATCATACTCTGCAGGTGGGTGTGGTGATTCCAGTTGGCAATGGGCTATAAACTGTTGATGTTTTATATTTACAACACCCCTTGGGGACCCCGTCACCACCCAGGTATCTGTCTATAGTAGTTTAGGGCTGAGTTTACTTCCAGTGTTAATGAACTTTACAAAAGGTACAGAGTAATTTCTTTATGTTTCATGTTGCTCCCTTTTTATGATCTGCCTTTATACAATAGGCCTATTTATCCCAGCTTTCAAAGAAGACATCTGGGAAAAAGAAGAACATGGATGACATCGGTTCTGGAATGAGTGACTTGAGTCTTTCTGATGAAGCAAAGAACTCCAGTTCAATGAAGTTTATGAAAAAATCAAGGCAAGTATTTTAATCAAGACATTAATCATAAGGGTGTTAAGTGGTTACCGTATTTGCCGGCAATAAGGCCGCACCCCCATTTTTTACATTTCAAAGAGGGAAAAAAAAAAAGGGAAAAAAAACCAAACGTACAAAACAAAATAATCATAATTTTCTCGAAAACACTATTTTTTTTTTACAAACTGATACCAAATTCATCCATATTCTTATAATTTACCGGAAGTTTAGCTAAAAAAGTGAACGCAGGCAGATTTGGTGTCCGATATACCCCTACCACAATGTACGGTGTAATGCGAAACTGCATGAAATGGAAAAAACAAAATGGCGAATTCGGATGGATGTTCGCGGCAGCTCCGTTAAACTGTCCCTTCCTTTACCTTTGCAATGCATTGGCACGAACTTAGACTTATTTTCGTCTTCATGTCAACAATGCAAGATAAAATTGTCGGTAAGATGTTTGGTAATGTCCTGTACCATAGTGGTATTGTTATTTTACCGTTTGTAGTCCCATACGTGCAAATTTGAAGTTTTTTTCGTTTTTTTTTTTTTTTTTTACTCTTTCGTCGTAAAGGCCGCACCCCGACTTTTTAATATTTTCTCTTCCAAAAATACTGCAGCCTTTACGCCGACAAATACGTTAGTTAAATGCATCGCTACATGCAAGCAAGGTATTTTGATATCTTCTGCCACAGTGGTTATTTGTTCGTCCATCTGTCTTGCTCTTTGTTACCATGGTAGAATGAGAACTATCAAAGCAGTGAGCACTAACAAAAGAAAAACTTAAACGCGCTGATAAATATTTCGCTCAGTGGGGGGGGGGGGGTGTGTAGTGAGCATTAAAAAAAAAGATTTATAACATTGAGTTTTTGTTGTACAAACGTCTTTTTTGGTACAGGGCTTCATTAGGACCTGCTGAATGATGGTAGGGTAGGAGCCCCCGGCATAAATATTCATATACTGGATATGTGTGATTGAGGGTCCCATGGCGTTTGTACAAAAAAATCTCAATGTTATAATTACCCTTTTTTTAACGGTAATTGATAAATTTGACGCTAAGCCATCTGACAAATTTGTATACTGACTTGATTAAAGTGAATTGAAATTAGTCCAACTAAAATAATTGCTTTCATTTTCTGTTTTTCTTAAATGCAGCACTGCAAGTGCAGTACTACCTGGCTCTTCCCGAAGTGCACAGAGCATTCAACAGTCGGCAAGACCGATGTCAGGGAAGAAGTCTACGAGCTTCACATCCAGTGCCCTTCAGCGAGCCTCAAAATACAATGCAAAGATAGCTTCCAGGAAGATAATAGTAGACAGTGATTCGTCTGACGATAGGTCTCGCGACCAGTACCAAGAACTTGATGTCACTGTAGATACTTCCAGCCCTCCTGCGCCTGCTGAGAATAGAGACAAGTACCGATTCATGAAAAAGCCATCGGGTAAAGTGGAGCCAGTAGTCGATGGGGAATCTAAGCAAGAGAATCCGTCTTCCTTTGCCACCCAACTTGAAAATTACCCTCGCATGGCTTCTAAATCTAATGCGACAGAGTCTAAGATGAAGGCAAAGCTATCAACCAAAGCCAAATCAGAAAGTGCCACAATGCCTCTGACATCTACTCCTATTAGAAACACACAACAGAGCAGCAGTAGACGGAACGTGTACAACAAAATAATGGCAGAGCTTGATACAGATGAAGAGAGTATTGACTATTTGATAGGAGACACCGCGGAATACTCCTCTTTTGTGAAGGTAGGGGTAATTTGTTTTCATAGTGATATGTCACAAATAAATCTATCCATTTCCTATACTGAATTTAGTGCGGAGGCATATATACATGTAGGAGACGCAGTCGCATTTGTCTTGTTTATTAATAGAATATTGTTTGCCAATATTTCTATTTTCTCTTTTCAGCTCAGAACTGGACTTTAATGTTTGATATTCTTAGTGTGTATTGACTCTTCGAGGCCAATGCATTCATAGTTCTGACTTATAGAATGACCAACTCATTATTTCTGCCCTGCCCCCTTTCCCTTCCCTTTTCTATCTCTTTTCTTACTTTCTTTCTTTCTTTCTTTTCTTACTTTCTTTCGCTCTTACTCTTGTGAACACTCACAATTTTTTTGAGCTATTAAGGCATTGTTGGCTTGTTGTCACTCAAAGAAGGTACATGTAGATGTAACTATAACCCATTCTATTACCATACTTTGATCATGTTCATGTAGATAAACAATATGACAAATTTGTTGTAATGTTTTGTCATTTCTTTGTACCTTGACAGGATGTGCAGAAAGCCGATACAGTTTCAGATCAAGTATCAGAGAATCGAGCATCCCCTCGAAGGCTCTCAGATACGGGTATGTTACTGCTGCTACTCTTATCTCCAGGACAATTTTGTTCTGTATTCAAAGGTTCTGTGCTAGTACCCTGCATTTAAAATCAGCTCATAAATGTTATTACTTCTTAATAACACTTTATGTGTAATTGGTAGATTTAAATACTGAAATCGGACTAAGAGAAATAAAAGACTTGTTCATAGAGTAGTCGATGCATATTCACATAAAATTCAGTGCTCCTGACTTAATTTCCAACCATGTATGACATCGTTTACTGTGTCAAAATGGGATTAGCATGAATAAGTACAAAAGAAAAGTTGAATTACATGTAAATGTATTTGCACAGAATTGGTTGGCCACAAAAAAAGGTCTTGAATTTTCAACAAAATAAATGATATAGTAGCACAAAATTAGGAAAAAATGTACACTTTTGAGGTAATTAAAACGAAAATCTTTAACACACATGTCTGTCAAATTACCGGTAGTTTAAACTACACACATATACAGTCAAACCTGTCTATAGTGACCGCCCAAGGGAAACATAAAAAGTGGTCTTTGTAGACAGGTTCCTTTAGTATATGTTTCAATGAGAAACCCTTTTCAAGGGAGACAAATAATGTGGTCTTTGTAGACAGATGGTCACTAAAGCAGGTTTGACTATATATGCATGTATCAAACACAATAAATGATGAAAAAAAGGTGATTCGTGCTTTAAGTCCATCATTTGTATTAGGTCACAAATTTTTTTGACCTTCACATGGACTTGTTATCTATTTAAATCATGCCAACCCTGGTCATTACAGCTTGGTTGAGCAGGTGGAAAAACAAATATTGACCGAAATTTGCCAAATGAGGACATGACTATTAAGATCCCAGGCTTTCATCATAAAATCTGTTGTGATTTTAATGATAACAAGAAATTGAGGAAATAAAACATTGATCATCAAATCATAACACATTTTCATGTTTTTCCTGTATTCTTAATGATTTGACTATATCTTACTTTCCACAGGTTATCTCGCAGAAAATCTGGAACATATATCCGTGGTTGAATCCGTGGTTGAATCTAGTGTTCAGTCATCGATAGGAGAGGATGTAGGGCTGACATTTTTTGGTCTACAGACCATCGATGACTTGCTACCTCCAAGCACCTCGCATATAACTCCGGACTCTTCTTCGTCTCATCATGATGACATATCTCATCACAAAGACATTTTTGGTCTACAGACCATCGACGATTTGCTGCCACCAAGCACCTCACAAACTCCGGACTATTCTTCTCGTCATGATGATGACATATCTCATCACAAAGACATTGAGAGTATAAGAACAATGAGTCCATCAACGGTTGCGGACTCCATCGCTTCAACATGTACTACTCCAGAGAGTAGCAGGACTAGCGCAGACTCTTACTCTTCGGTCGCCTCGTACAGCGAGTCGAGAAGCTACCTCTCAAAGTCAGACTCAAATTCTTCTCTTTCTACTAGCAACAATACGAGATCCAAGGTCTCAGACACCAGCATCGATACCATCACGCCTTCTAGATCTGTTTCCTACTCGCATGATTTTGACACCTTATCGCATTCTGATGATGCGACTGTATCGGATGACCAGACTATCGCGAGCGATTTCTCTACCTCCCATAGTGGAAGCGATTCTAGAAGTAGTCGACCAAGTATCGTTTCGAAACGTATAGGACATGATGCAGCTGTTCAAACTTCTGGTTCCTTGCATTCCATCAACCATCATTGGCTTAAAGGTATACATGCATGTAGCTCTCATCACCATAGGCAATACTGCAATAGAAAATCATTTATCATATAACTTATAGAATTATGAATAATACTAAAGTGAATGAAATGTATTTTATCAGCTAGGCGGGATTCAGAATGAGCTATGTATTACATAACTTGGTAGAATTACAGTGTATGAAAGAGTGAAATTTTTGTCATGTACACTTGTAGCTGCCAGTAAACTGGGAGGATTAAGAAAAGCAACACATTTTGCATTGCCGCATCTGGAACTGCATACGTTTTGTCTCTCAATACTTTGATCTATCAATATTCTTGTTGTAAGTATATACCATGTCTTCACCTTAAATGGTTTGATATTAAAGGTAAAGACCAGTTTTGGAAACGCCCCCCTTTCAAAAAATGAAATGGAAGCTCTTATTACCAATCATGTGAAAGAATATGTTTTGACTACTACGTGATCATACATCTTTTGCCGAGAAACCGCCTACTAATTGATATATTTGGTAAATTATTACATCTATTTGGACATGATAGATATAACGCACGTGTCGTGCACGTGTGCGTAGTCCCATATACATCTTTCTGTGTACAGTACTTGTAACTTTACCAAGACTGGGCCAAATTTCTTATAATTTTGATGATTCCAGAACCTTGCAGTACACACCAATACTTATTTGCTAGATGAACAACCTTTTCTGATCGATTCCACAACGTTACTTTCACAGTCAATGCAATTGCATGACCATAACTGGCCTTTTATCTTTAAGCCCAGGTTAACTTGGCCTTGAGTCTTGATAATGTTTGCTATTTGAATATTAAGTTTTGTCTTTGTCTTTACAACTGATATGTTGTGGGTTTTATTTTCTCCTATCTCTCTTCTCTTCCTCATTCACTCAACTTCTGTATTGCTCTTCCTTTTTCTATCCTCTTCATCTCTTCTCCCTTATTCCTTCTCCCTTTTTACTCCCACATCCTTGTCCCTCTTCCCCTCATGATTCTCTTGGTTATTTTATTCTCATACATTTCCCTATTTTTTGTTTTACTTTTTCATTCTTCATCTCTTGAATATAGATTATGATTTCCAGACACCAGGATACTTCAAGCTTCTAAGTTCAAACATTAAGGACACAGTGTCTCATGTTGTGGACCCAATGGTTTTGCAGAGTAAGTTATTTTATCTGTATCTTTTTTTCAAAACTTTTTCTAAAATTAAAAGAACCATGTAGCAAATTTCACTTTGTTCTAAGTATTAACATGCATTTGGCATTATGGGAGACCCTCATGTACAAATAAATTATATCAATACAATACCCTTTAAAGAGAAGGTTGAGTTCTGGGAAGAGGTGAAATATAATTTGTGAGTGTTATCATTGTTATTATGCAAGTGTGGAAAGACATCAGATAAAACATGTTCCCAGAAAAGCATGGCTCTTCAAATGCCTTCATATTCTAAATATGTCATATAACATCGTAAAAACAGAAGGGATTTTTACGCCACATGTTCGTGTAGTCCCATATACAGTGTTTGTAACTTTACTAAGACTTGGCCAAATTTCTTATCATTTTGATGATTCCAGAACCTTGCAATGCACACGAATACTTAAATGCTATATGATCAACCTTTTCTGGTCGATTCCACACCGTTTCTTTCACAATGCAATCGCATGACCAGAACTCAACTTCATCTTTAACTATCAAATTAATTTATATCATACTTTAGTGAAAATATAAATATGCTTTGGGAGAGCTATTACAAGAATCCTTAATTTAACCAGGCTAAAGTAGACATGTTATAGTGTCCTTTCTGTATTTTGGTTTGTGGGTCAAGAAATTGATAGAGACCCCATTGAAATATTTGGTTATCAGTCAGGTTACCTGTCAATCCTACATGTAGATGTTATCACAAATAACTGCCAAATTACTGACAGGAAAACGAGATGTTTCATTGTTCAGTTTGAAGTGTCCGCATACTTCAGGGACCAGGATATTTTACAATACTAAAAAATGTAAGAGTTTATCCAAGATGGTCCTAGTACTGGTAGTCAAACCCATGTCAGGTAACTCGGGTGTCGGGTATCCGTTACGATCCGGAAAAATTCCAGTTTGGGACTCGCTTAAGTTTGAGCCCGGTTTGATTTAGAAGTTGGAAAAATTCTGTCAAATTTTGCCAAAGCACTGGATTATTCTGCAATAAATCAAACCAAAATCAACCTTTATTTTTCCCAAAATATATTTTTTTTTAATTTTTATTTAAACCTTATTATGTACATATTTCTATGTTCTTTCTTAACCTGTTTTGTTTAGTCGTTAGCAATCATTACAACAACAAAAATCTTGGCCATGGAAATAGTTTAACCCTAATAGGGCCTAGTGGATTCCACCCCCTCTCATTTTCTCTAGCCCTGTGCTTTCATTACTATGAAGCACATCTTTTTACATCAAGTTCTTAAAATTCAGATAATGGGTTGCTACACAGCACCCCAAAACGTGCGGCGGAGCATCTTTCAAAGGGAGGGGGGGGGGGGGCACCAATAACAAAAGGACACTTTCTGGGGAAAAGGGATAGCTCCAAAGGGAGACCTCAAAGCGAAAAATATACAAATGTTAGACATAGGTATATACATGTACCTCTACATTGTGATTACATTATCAGGGATAATTTCAATGTTTTTAGTTTTTTGTACATGGTCCTAGTAGTCAGGTGGCTCAGTGAAATTATTGTTACTTGCCGGATAAAAGCACCATTTCTGGTACAGGGCTTCCATAGGACCTACTAAACGATATTAGGCTAGATATATTGTGTTCAAGAAATTTGAAAATGTGGTATTTAACTTGTCATCAATTATTAAGATTAAGATTGTTTCACGTCATCTTTTTTAGCGCTGAGTTCTTTTGACTCTACTTCGCTGGCGTTGCATGCAAACCTAGTAGAGCAAGTCCGACAGACACAGCTAGCAGTCACCAACACAATGAGACAACACCAAGCCTTTCTGGATTCATTACAAGAAGATTACTGCTACACTACTCTGGAAAACACGAAATCAGTAAGTTTTTGTTTTGATGCATATTTTGTCATTCCTTTCCTCCTTCTATGTTCATGATACAGTCAAACCTGTCTATAGCAGCCGCCCAAGGGCAACACAAAAAGTACCCTTTGTAGACAGATTGTCTTTGAAGACAGGTTCCTTTAGTACATATTTCAATGAGAAACCATTTTCAAGGGAAACAACAATTGTGGCCTTTGAAGACAGGTGGTCTTTGTAGACGGGTTCCTTTAGTACATAATTCAATGAGAAACCGTTTTCAAGGGAAACAACAAATGTGGTCTTTGAAGATAGGAGGTCTTTGTAGACAGGTTCCTTTAAACCATTTTCAAGGGAAACAACAAATGCGGTCTTTGTAGACAGGTGGTCACTAAAGCAGGTTTGACTGTACCACTCGATGTACTGTAAGACTCAAAGATAAATTAACTGTGTCTTGTATTTCAATGATTTCAGTACCATTTAATACCCTTTAGCTCTGTCTATTTGACACAGTTGTTTCAGGATTGCCATTGTAGTGAATATATGGTCTTACTTAATACCTAGAGTTCTTCATCAGTATTGATACTGTCCCCACTTTGCAATTGGTGCTGTGAGTTAGCATTTTATTTTCCTACCAACACATTTAAACAAACCATTTTTCTTATATGAGATGTTACACTACTTATGAATGGTGCAGAGTATTGTTGTATATGCCGCTCTGGTGGCCACCCGTTTAGCCCCATCTACATATAAATATTTCAAAGACCATTGGAGAAATGAACTTCAAACCTGGTACTGCTTAGGCATTGTTTTCTTTATAGAGGAAGCAAGTAGCTACAAGTAGTACAGTGGGGCTTTAACACTGTACATGTAACCTTTGTGAGGTTTTGAAAACAAATTAATGACACAATACATCGCCAGTAACTCATTTTATATATCTCTCTCTCTCTCTCTCTCTCTCTCTCTCTCTCTCTCTCACTCTCTCTATTCTCTCTCTCTCTCTCTCTCTCTCTCTCTCTCTCTCTCTCTAATTCACTGTCTCTCTCTCTTTCTCTCTCCCTGTCATTCACTCTCTCTATTCTCTCTCTGCCATCTCTGTGTTTTTCATTATTTTCCATGCAGTTTATCAAAAGGCAAAAGAAGCGAAGAAGAAGAAGAAACAAGGACCAAAGAGAAACATCGTTAGAAGAAGAAGATAGGAATCTTACTTTATAGCATTTCTTTATATTAGTATTGATAAGCCCCACTGAATATATAGTGGTGAAGTGTGACGTCATCATCTATCAATTTTTAGAATTTCTCAAGCCAATACTTAACATATTCAATTGGTTTTCGACATTTGGACATCATTTTTGATGCTCTTCCGGAAAATGAAGAAAAAATTGAGAAATTCTAAAAATACATTTTTATGACGTCACAGCTTCGGTACTCTATAGTATGAAACATCTGTTGCATTGCTGATATTACTGTGGATCATTCCTTTACTGAGCATATCCTTGTATCATTTCCCAATCTCAGCCAGTGTTTCACATGCTGAAAGTTAGAAGTGAGATACCTCCATGTTACAGGGTAAGAATTAAAGATAAACTTGAGTTCTGGTATAAAAAAAAAAAAATGAATTCTCACAGAATCAAACAAAACTTACACTGAATGTTCAAGCTTACAAATAAATGTCATTTGAAAAACAATGTTGGTAGAAAATGTATACTGGCTGAGTAATGAGCATAGAAAGATAAGGAAATCAAGGTTAGTAGCCCCGGCACCATTTGTGTAGTCCCATATGCATCTTTCTGTGTATAGTGCTTGTTACTTTACCAAGACTGGGCCAAATTTATTGTGATTTTGATGAATCCAGAACTTTGCAGTACAGACCAATCCTTACATGCTACATGATCAACTTTTCTTTTACGATGCAATCGCATGACCAGAACTCACCTTTATCTTTAAGAAAATTTTCAGTCATACATTCCCCCTAATTATAACTATTGCAATTATGTTTTTTAATGCGATGCCTGTATGAGACAAATCTATTCGGTAATCAATAAGAAAAGGAAAGTTTATGATATCTTTTGTACAGAGCAAATTGGAGAGGAGCTAGCAAGATATGTTACATTGCTGCCAATTTGTATTTCACAGATGACAACTTTTAAAATTCATAACTTTCCAATCTTGTTTTGATAGGACTTTTTGGTTTTCATTAGTTTTCACTAATTCATTTCTCTAATTTTCTGCTTTTATTAAAACCAACTTGATATCAGGGTGGATTTCACCTTTGAATATGCTAATTTATGCAAAAAAACACAAATTTGGTCAAATAAACCTGTATCTTATTTTTTTAAATTATCCAGGTGAGTATGATAGATAAAAAAAAAGCAATTGCAGTGTTAATTACTCTAACATATTCTTTTTTTCTTGATTTTTATGTTATTTTATGCTTATTTATGCATAGAACACACTTTTACTAGTATACCAAGAAATAAATATACCTCGAACTCAAATATTATTGGTGAGATCATCAAATAAAAATGAAGTTATGATAATTGCAATAAAATTATATTTATTGATTTGAATGCTATGTTATATACTACATGCAAAAAACATATCTTATTTGTCTAATTAAGTTTATCTAAATATCCTTCTTGTGTGTGAATACGATATACCAGTAGTGCAATTTCAATTGATTAAAAAATATTGATATTGTATAGGTTGTGCTGTAACTGTCTTTTTCTTGGGATTTGTATGTACATTTAAAAGAAAATGAATAACTAGAATTGGAGATGACGAAGGGAAAAATAAGTGGAACTAGTATCGAGTTGAGATAAAAAATAAATGAAGTTTGAATGTGGTGCTATTGAGTTGAGAGTAGAAATAGTATAGTGATTTACGAGATCAAAACATAAGTTACAGTGATGAGTTCAAGGGCGGTGGAGAATCTTTCAAAGAGGGGGAGGGAGCTCAGGAGGGTATCAAAAAGGGTTCTTATTGAAAGAAGAGGACAAATATATATAGGGTAATCACCTAGTTTTTTTAGACACTGGCACACTCTCCACCTCCCACCCCCTCTCATTCCGGGAACGGAGGGATCGCATTCATGTTCCCAAAATCTCCGGTAAAGGGGTACTTTTCATGCAAGAAAGTCCGGCTCGTAGAACACAACAAAAATCAGCCCGTATTGACTTTAAAAGGGTGCTTTCAAAGGAAAGGAACATGCATACGCGTGACCTAAATAATACTGAGTGTGGGGGGGGGGGGGGGCTCGATCTCCACGTACCCTTTGGAGAGGCAACCACACGTAGCAAAGTACAGAGAAGATACAAAAATACCTTGCTTACATGTAAGTCGTGTCATTTCACTCGACACTCTTGATGTCTTGATAAGACCATTCATCTTTATTTGTTTCATAAACCTTTTTCAATTCAATCGAGCTTTATTGAAACAAGACTGGCAGGCACAGAATTATCTTTTTATAATTTTTAAGTGCAACTAAAATACTAAAATATATGAAAAGTTGCAATAATAAGCAAACATGTAAGGTAGAATATTAAAGTTACACGAAATATGTTACATGAGTAACATTGAATACAAATAATAGACTGACGTAAAACTGATGTACAGGTACCTCGATCACGGTTCTAATATAGGAAAACTACCCCCTGGACAATCACCCCCCCCCCCCCCCGAGGACACTTACCCCCCGAAAAAAGTAATTTCCGGGGGGTTATTGTCCTCGGGAGGGGGGGGGGTAGTTTTCCGGGGTTGATTGTTCCAAGGGGGTTATTGTCTTAATACGCTCGATCACTGCTATCACTTGTATTTTTTTAATGCATAATAGTATATGAATAGATATGAGGGCAAGGAAAAGGAAATAGTATGTTGGGGCTATTTGATGAGCGGAACACAGAATGAGGGAGAAGTATAGAATATGGAGAAAAGAAAATACAGACAGATAGTGATTGTACTTGAGTTGGCTTTACTTCAACAGAAGTCACTCAGTCCAGACTCCAGGGACCCATTTCACAAAGCCTTTTTTTAATGACAAATGACAAAAACCAGTGACAAATCTGCTGATAACCAATCAGAAGCAAGGATTTCAGTAGCTTATAACAAAAACTGTCATTTGTCACTGATGACAAATTTTGTGAAACGTCCCCAGAAGTGATGTCATCCATCATATTCTTTTTCCCAGATGTCTTCTCTAAGAGCTGGTATATAAAAACATGCCTATTTAAAAGCATGCGGACATCAAAACAGAAAAACAAACTACTCGATCTGCATCATTTCCTTTAGAATAAACTGATGACAGAGTAAAGGCAAATTCATCTTGCATGCATATGTGTATGTGTGTGTGTGTTGTTTTGACTTGTCTGTTTGGGTGGATCGACATTGCCCTTATTGGTTGTAGCCCACACCCCCTTTGAACCATGGCCTCGATGATAATAAATCATTTATTGATGAATGCTTGATAAATAGTAGCTGCTTAATCCATGAATATGCTGATTTAAAACATATTGGGCACATTTCACAATAGGACTAGATGATGGAGGCGTATCTAATAAGTATGGCTTTGGGTGCACGTTTATTCCAACTCGATCTGTAGGCTACCCCCCCCCCCTCCCCCTAGATACGCCACTTCGTAGAATTTAGCCCCCCCCCCCCCCCCCCCCAAAAAAAAAAAAAAAAAAAAAAAAAAAAAAAATTGTTGTATTGCCTTTTATAGTTGCTAAAACATGGGTCGGTCGGTCGGAATTTTTTTTTTTTATCTCTCTCTTTGGGCTGATATTTCTATGTTTTGAATTCATTAATACATTTTTTTTCTTAAGGGCAATACAACATATTGTAGGCCTTATTATAGGGTGATTTAAACCACCGATAATCATTTCAGTTTTACTCACTAAATATGTCTACAATTAGCATTAGTCTTGTATTTGGATTTCAGTTTGAGGTTAGGGTAAGTGTTATATTTAGTATTTTGGCCATCATAGGCTTTGGGTTAGGGTACTGATTAAAAATAAAGTATCGTGTATTATATGCATTTGGCCAGATCGTCGGTTAAAAAATAGGCCTTCTTTCATGGGTGTCGATACTTACGTAATACCTATTCATCAGGGGGGATGAATGAATAGATCATCCCCCCTGATGAATAGGTATCAGTTACGGATCGACACCCATGCCTTCTTTTATCGAACTATGCGGTATCCCCATGGAAATTTACTTGCTTCAGATTCTTAGAGTATGGCCTGAAAGTTTTATACAAATTGTGCAGTTGTATATAGAGACCAAGGGGGCGTATACGGTGTACCCTTTGCCCTCGTCATAAAAAAACTCTCTTCGAGTGGGTTTATCTCCTGTCTATCCAAACACACTACATGTAGCTGGGTATAGTCTTGGACCTTGGGCCGACGTTGATCTACAAATAAAACACTCCTACGTGCAAACAAAACCTCGCAAACTAAGATGCCGTGATATATGATGGGCTTTTACTATCAGTGATTCAGTACAGATCTTGCGTCCATTGTGTGATGTTTACCGTTTTTTCGTTTTCAATATCTACGTTCTGTGCATGGGATTTGTCTTAAATAGTTTGCTTCGCCATGGCTAACATGAAGGTATGGATGACGCTATTGGTTTTGATCTCCTTCCACGGGAACTCCGAAAGTCAAACTGAAATGGGTAAGTATATTTATAGTAATAATAACTATATAGCGCTTAATACATCAATGACGTCTCTAAGCGCTTTACAGGTATATTATTACCCCGGTCATTGGATTCAATACTTGCCCGCACACAATGTGTGCACAATCTCCACTCCCTGGGGAGCATTCCAGCCAGGCGTAAATTAACGCTCAAAACTGTTTGCCCAACAATGACGGTCGCATGATAACCATGTTTTTTTTTGTCCAAATTACCATCCACCATGGTAACCATGATTATCATGGTACCAAAACAATGAAATACATTGTTTAATGACCCAATGTATTTCATTGTTTTGGTACATTGATAACCATGGTTACCATGGTGGATGGTAATTTGGACAACAACAAAATGGTTACCATGGTACTTTTTTGTAAGGGTTTATTAATTGGCAAGTGAAATACCTGTACCCTATCTTTTTTTAATCATAATATCTCATTCTCTGTAATACATGGAGTTTCCTCTACGGAGAGAATATCAATTACATCAACAAAGTTTAATAAAATACAAGATGTTTTGCCAAATGTCTGCAGAAGTGAAATAGATGTTCAAAATCCCATAATTATATGTTTATAGTCTCAGGCAAGTTCGTGAGACATACAAGATGAATTATTGACATGCATGCGTGTATTGACCCATTTATTGTTTGATGACATTCGTATGTTTTTGAGCCATGCGGAAGGGCGTTACCTAGCTCCTATACTTTGACAAGAAGCCCTTTGGGTAATGCGACGGTCACAAAGGTTCGTACGAACTGTAATTTCGTACGAATCTCCCTGTTTTTCCATTGTCTGAAAATCGTTCGTACGGCGTTCGTAGCAGTTCGTAATGACATTTGTGACCGAGGCTTTATGAACAGACGATGAATTCGTTTGGAAGATGTAGGCATGTATTTGGTTTAAGATCCACTTTACAGCCATACAATGTTGTATAATATAATTCATGCCATATATTAGAGACGTTTTCCCTTTATTTTATTGTGTTTGCTATTTTTCTTCTGGCCAAAAAAAGAACGATACTATATGTTGTCTATAAATCTTACGTAATGCATATATATATATATATATATGTGTGTGTGTGTGTGTGTGTGTGTATTCCATAATTGTATCGTGACACCATCATAAGCTTTATGCTTTCAGGTAGTCTCAACATTTTCGTCTGTGTATGCAAATTTACTTTATTATTATACATACAGTAACGGTACTATAATTATGTCCCGTTTCGGACCAAAACAATGAAAAGGTTATATTCCACCGGCATTAGTGAAAGATGATACAAACTTAGAACTTTCCTCAAAACGAAAGGGCTTGAAAATGTCTTTTTGTGGGATAATAAAGACCGTTAGTTGTTGAATCGACTTTAGGGATTAAAACCCTTGATTTTCAGACCCTTATTTTGGCCATTAGGCATTACAAGAAGTGTGCTATTGATGTAGACAAATGCTCATGTGCCCTTTACAGCTCATTACCAAAGAAAAAATGAAGTCAGTCAGTCACTATAATAGTGTCTGACAGTGAAGTCTAGAAAGTAAACGGGTTTCCTTGCATAATTTGAATACGTACTAGGACGTTTAAATTTCACAGATATAGGACATACGTGACGTATTCATTATTCCTGCAAAGTTCTACAGAATTTGATGTTGGCTGCAAATGGGACATAGTACTTTTAATTCTATAACTAAATGGATGCAGAATCTGATTCTGTATCTGATAATCACAGAATGAAGCAGAGTTGGCACGATTTTAATCTCCCCGATTTTGAAGAAGACGACAAAAAAGTTAATACAAAAATCGCTGATTTTAATCACTTCCGTTTGTGAATATAAATGAAGCTTAGTTTTACTGTGATGACTCGATCAGCTCATACCATATTCGAGATGATGCAAGACGTGGTCCACATAGAAGAATCCATGAATTAAATTTTACCTTTTAGTATTGATTGCTAAATTATAATTTAATCAACATTGTAGCTTTTCTTTTTTGTTGCGTAATCCCCTATAATTGATCATCTCGGGATAGACGAAAATAGTGATTTTTGTTCATGTGACCTTATTCGACCTCTATGCAGCCAACCGTGGACAATCCAGTGACTACTGTATCACAAGAATTGGGGCATGCACAATACTCTAGTCCATGCATAGTATAGAGAGTAGAGTATTGTGCATGCATGCCCTGATAATAACACGTTCATATAATATATCTCAACAAAATCAATCTTATAACAATTAATTTTTTCTTGCTCACACTGTATTTTCGAGCTGTAAAAAACCCCATTAAGAACAAACAAACAATAACTTTATTTGATTTCCTATGGGCCGACGGATAATGAGTATGAGAGAAAATAAAGAATAACAAAACATTGCACACGGAACCCAAGTCCGAATTGGGTTCCGTGTGGACATATGGGAACGCGTTGGGTGCGTCACCCACGAGTCGCTTTTATGTTTAAAGGGCCCATGACATCGAAATACAAGTGTATTCCTGTTGGTGTGCAGTCCTGCATAATCTCATATTTTGATATGTAACAGGTGGTCGACTTCGGCAAAGATACATACCACTTTCTCAAGTTAGCTCATTGATGACTGATAGATGATGTCACAAGGGAAATGAGATCTGGAGGTTTTTGAGGTGCATGGAGCTTAGCAAGTTTGAAAAACAAATATTTAAAAAAAATATTTAAAAATCTATGAAACAAATTCAGAAGTTTATATTTCAAAATAGGAGATGTATACAGGACTGCACACTAACAGGAGGTATTTCGATGTCATGGGCCCTTTAAATGAGAGATTATTTATGTTAATATAGTGGCGATAACAAGTACTTTGGAAATAATGATGTTTAAAATGCTTATTTCATGACATCTGCATCATTTGTTCGTTATCAGATTATGGGCCGAAGAAAGTCTATGCAATTGGATGGCACTAGATAGAAATACTGCCATTTTATTTGCGCAAACACGTTTCAGTCTCAGATTGGAACAAAGGTCAATCCAGGCAGTTATAGTGCATTTGCGAAGACTTTTAACTATCAATGATTGATTTGAACAGTCATCTACTTTAACCCTATACCGAGGTTTGCGTACTAACAGTGGCGTATCAAGAAATTTGACAAAAGAGTCGAGGGGTGGAATCCCGCCCCCCCCCCCCCCCCACTCCGGGAACGGAGGTACCGCATGCGTGTTCCCAAAATCTACGGCTCGTCACAAAGAAAAAGATTTACCCGTATTGACTTAACACACCGGACTTATGCTGAAAGGGTGGGGGATGCTGTGAACACGCAATATGCGTACCCTAAATAACACTGAGTTGGGGGGGGGGGGTGGAATGCAGCACCCCAAGACAAGGGTCTTATAACTGGGCAACTTCTTTGTTCTTCTACGTATATACCGTGTGAGTCAAACAAAAGTTTACAACTAGAAAATTGCTGATTATTTTTAAAATCATCATTATGAACAGTAAATTATTATACATCTAATGAAAGAGCGTTTTATCCCAAATCATTTAGTATCATTTTTGTGTGGTATGACTGCATGTATTCACGCTTGGATGAACGGGAGGCATTGTTTGCGAGAGTGGAAAAATCGACTTGCGCCAAAGTTGCTTAGTATGTGATGTTTAATCCGTTCAAATTTCAATAAACACGCTAAGCCTTGTTGATCGGGTGGTAATGTCTTTTTTTCATGACCGTGTTAAAGGGGGGGGGGAGGGTGGGATGAAGGAGGGGGCGGGCGGGTGATGTACCATTTAACAACCAAAAAAGAAGCACAGAAAAGAAAATTGCGCCTTGTTGTGAGTGACAAACTGAAACCATGCCACTCTGTGTAAAGATGGCCCTGAGTTCCCCATTTTTAAGTTTCGTCCAGACACCCCCCCCCCCTAAAAAAAAACCGCCGTGGTTATTATTTGTTTTTAGGTTCGAAAAGAATGACAGCTGACGGTGCAACCCAAATGAGGCGCGTGTTCACTGAACTCTACGTTATTATTGAAGACCAGAAGGTAAAGCGTAGGCCTATGCAAAAATTGACTTGCACAAAAGTACTAAAGCGAGAGAATAAATTGAATGTCTCAAATGAGATACAAATCATATGCCATTTTGCAGAAGCAAAGTCACACACAAACACACGCACAAAATAATGTTCTTTGTTATTTTAAATTTAATGTGTGATATGTGTGGCATAATTTGGATCTGCAAGGACCAAATTAATACCAAAATCCCAACCGTTTTTTTTCAAGCATCACATTATCAACAACTCGATTTTTTGCACGTTGAAAATAATTCCTCCTGTTCATTCGAGCCTAAACATATTCCACACAAAAATGATACTTAATGATTTGGGATAAAACACTCTTTCATGATATGTATAATAAGTTACTGCACATAGATAATTTTTGAAATGGTTAGCATTTTTCTAGGTGTAAACTTTTTTTGACTCACACTGTACACCCCAAATATAGTTAGTTTCAAGTTTCAAGTTAGCGAGTTTTCCTGGTCTTCAATGGTCGAAAGCTAGCTATACACAATAGCTTCACAGTAATGCTGGGTACGTCACCGCCCTCATCATCACCATCGCCAACTCCACCATTCACAGTGATGTCTTTACAGCACAACTCGTCTGCAACAAAACCTATTATTTGTCTGGATAATGTTGGAATGATTTATGTTCTTTCAATTTTATTATTGTATAGTCATTTCCTATGTCTTTTATTGTATGTCTATTATTTTTCGATCTTTCCATCTCTCATCATCTTTTCATATCCTTTTATTAACTTCTCTCGTCTTCTCTTTCTTTCCATATGTTTTCCTTTATTTCAATATTAATTTTCACATTTTGTTGTATCATTCCCTAGTCTTGCTCTTTCTCTCTCCCTCTTTCTCTCTCTCTCTCTCTCTCTCTTTCTCACTCTCTTTTCTTCTCTGTTTTTTATGTTTAATATTTAAGCTTTCATTCCATCATATGCTACTTCTATCATATCATTTGTATTTATCCGTTGTTTCTATTAATCTATTTTATCTTTCTTCATATTTTTCATTGTTTTTTTATCCTTCTATCAACTTTTCTAAGAGACTTTCTGATGTGGTATTCATATTTATTTTGAGATTTAGAAACGCGTAAGTTGATATTCGAGCAAGCTAGAGACATTATTCAGGACACTTGCTAGTATTGCGTGAATTTTTAAGACAATTCTCCACTTTCCACAGTTACCATGACGACGGAGATGATGGGCACAGCACCCATGACCTTCAGGACCCTACCTCCTCCTCCTCCACCATCAATCCCACCACCTCCACCTACCACAGTTGAACCTACACCCGAGCCACCAGTTACAACGAGAATCCCTCCGCCACCACCTCCTCCGTCCCCACCACCACCTCCTCCACCATCGTCCACCGTACCAACAACACCAACGCCTACCCCTAACCTTCCTACCACAACCAGCAGGACATCAACCAGGATGTTAACCACCACTGTGGCCATCGAACCTACTCAGATGCCGATCGAAACCACTCGCCAGAGAACGGAACCCATCAATGTAGAACCGAATCCTGTCGCTGAATCGCTTGGAAAGATTGGTGTCTTGCTCACCAGCCCTCTAGAAGAGGTATTTTTTTTTTTATCATTTGTATTTTTTTTTATCATTGATGATTAATCTTCCATTGGTCATTCTGTTTCTCTAAAAGAAATTCCTGTACCTCAATATAGTCCGAACGTTGTTTGAAGAAGGCACAGGTTCGTATAATGGCAATCAGTCAATTATGACTATTATCACCAGTATTTTCATTGTTATGGAATTCTTTTCACCTATTTTCTTATCAGGGGTAAGCCTCTTGTTCGAAAATGATCAAGGCGTCGTCCCCCGATATTGGAGTAGGCCAACCCCCCCAAAAAAATTGCCTAAATGATATTTTAACAATGCCTATCCCCATATGAGAAGAGAGAAAAAGGGGTGGATAGTAAGCACAGAGTTATGATGGAAAGTGCTCGAAAAACAAATTTCAAAAGTACAAAATATTATATTTTTCTAGCTCGGTCAAACAAAAATGAGAAGAAAAAAAGAGGATGGTATACCACTTCTGCTTTAATAATTCGTCTTCTGACGGTAGGAGTGACGTAATAAGCAACACATTTCGAGGAGGCTGGGTCAGTATACTCCTGTCCTACCACCCCACACCCCCCCCCCCCTTCCAAAGAAGAGAAGATTTGCATTTAGCTGTATGAATAGGATTCCATGACATTTGCTCCGGCGACAATTGCTCCGCTGTAAATTTCATACACTAATCGAATGGCTAACTTCAACACTATACCCTACCCTAAACCTAACCCTAAACCTAACATAAAACCCTATTGAAACCCTAACCCTAACCCTACATCTTAGACGAAATAAAGCCCGGAGCAATTGTCGCAGGAGCAAATGTCGTGTCACCATGAGGGCGCATTCTAACGACTTCGGTAAACCTTCTCTCTTTTCTTTTTTGCAAGGTCGCGTCGTGACACAACACTGAGATGATTATTTAGTTAATCAGTCCACTCATTTTTGGTGTAATTTATAATCTCTTCCTCTAACGAAATTTCAATGGTGTTTAAAGAGAAGGTTCATTGATTTAAAAAACTAACTTTAATGTCATCATTGCAAAGGTGACACTTTGATTGGCCAAGGTTATCAAAAGCCAGTGCTTGGAAACATTCGAAATAATGATTATTAACAATTACAAAATGCTTAGATACAGCCCCGACATAGCACCTGAAAAGCTCCCCGGTCGCTGCTGAGATTTGACGTCACATGTTGAACATGATGTGCACAAGCAGACGATGTCCCATGACATCTCACACAATTTCAGTGCCTGTTTTGTTATCTTTTCTTCAGTTATTTCTCTTACTTCAATACCTTCAGGCAAAATGTTTAATCTATTGCCTCACTCTTAACCCCGTGCATGGTATTATTTTGATGAAAAAATGCAAGGATTAAAAAAAAAAGAAGGAATCCGTCGCTTGTAAACAAAATAAGACGCCATTGTATTTTCAGCTGCATACACCGCGGCAGGTTCGGCGTTTCAAGAGGGAACAATAATGACGTCCAGCTATCATTCCGGAGGTTTTTTAATTTGAAAGTGTGGTTTCTTTGATCGTTCATTAACCCATATCCTGTGTATTTACAAACAAAAGAATTTAGTTATCAGAATGGGGGTCATATCCCTTTTTGAATGGTGTAAAATTCCATCACATTTATATACACTAAACTCATTATAATTTGAGAAATATAAGCATTGCAATTATGTTCATTCTTTATGGGATGTCGTCTGCTTGGGCAGGGTTGGTTCATATTGTGACGGCATGAAAACTTTTTTTTTCCGGCGAATCTCTCGCATATCCCAGATGCTATGGAGGTTGTTTTATTTGTATCTTTATAAACCACCCGATAATAATGTAGTTGACCTAAAACTTGCATAATAGTCATCTAATAGCTTACCAGTTTCTAGTAATACGCTATTTGCCGTATTTGTGATTTTCTATGAACCCGCACTTTAACTATAAATTGTACTACATTACAAGAGGGCATTTTCATCCTTCCTCCAAATTTACAATTTTACCATGAATTATAATCCCCGATATTTGCCCTCACTATATATATATATATTATCATCATGTATTTCGTCGCCCCGACTCTCTCTAACGACACCCGACTCCCTCTAACGACACCCCGACTCCCTCTAACGACACCCGACATCCTTTAACGTCGCCCCGACTCCATCTTACGTCCCCAGGACTCCCTCTAGCGACACCCGACATCCTCTAACGTTACCCCGACTCCCTCTAACGACAAACCGACTCCTTCTTACGACACCCCCGACTCCCTCTAGCGACATCCGACATCCTCTAACGTTACCCCGACTCCCTCTAACGACACCCGACATCCTTTAACGTCGCCCCGACTCCATCTCACGTTCCCCCGACTCCTTCTAACGACACCCGACATCCTCTAACGTTACCCCGACTCCCTCTTACGTCCCCCCCCCCCCCCCCCGATTCCCTCTAACGACAACCCAACTCCCCCTTACGGCACCCGATTCCCTCTCACTGATCCCCACATTTCTAGCCTCCATTCCCGTAATTCTGCTCTTACGTTTTTACTGCATTTAGTGTAAAAGAAATCTTTAACTATATATTTCTTTTATTTTCATTTTTACTTATCTATATACAGTTTGATCGAGAGGAATTCAAGAAGGTGATATCCCGGGAGGTCAACAACTACTGCTCCGAATTCACTGGACAATGTGCCGGAGAAGGTACTGTAAGGTATGTACAGCGCTTAGAGACTTAATTGTAATTTGCGCTATATAAAAACTGAGTATTATTATTATTACAGCGTCTTTTTTTCCCGTAACCTAGCCATCCTAGAATGCATATTAATATTTGAATATATGAATATTTGCGTTGGTACGGTGAGGTGGAGATCAAATTCAAAATTAAATCGGCTAGACGCTGGACTAAATTAACCAGTATGTCGCGATGATTATGGACAAGTTACGACCTGGGTAGTCATTCGTTTATACGGTAAGCCTCCCGATTTTGTCGCAATGTCACTTTTAAAGTAAACTTAGCATCAGATTCTGTACACATGCGTGCGTATCATGAATATTGATGACTAGCGCATAACGTATAGGACCTATTGAGCCAATCAAATGCAGCGACAGGATGGCTAGGTTACGGAAAAAAAGACGCACCCCGTTTGGATAAGTCTCGATCACATCCGGGGTGCCTTTATTCACAAAGATCCTAAGTCGAACCTAACTCAAAGTTGGACTTAAACATTATGGAGAGTCACTTGTAGCCTTAAAATAAAATTCAAGTACTTTTGACTTTTCACATCAAGAAAATGAAATCTCCTTGATTATGAACGATTTTAATCAACATTTTATGCCTTTTAAAATAATTTTTACAAAATATTTTCGAAAATGCTAATGGTTTTCCATAATTGTTATGTCCAATGTAGAGTAAAGTTCGACTTAGGATCTTTTTTAAACACCCCCCCCCCCCCCCCGATCCGATAAATCTGCAATATCTAATTGCATTATGACACGAACGCGCTTATACAATTCGCTTTAATTTTCACATTTCACACAAAAATTGGGTACACGGACGACCTTTGTTGCACACAACTACTTTTATTTTTCGATTCCACTTTAATACGATTCATTTACACTATTGTTGATTTACACTAAACAACCCCTTTCAAGTATATTGAAACTTTTGGTCACATTTTTTCGTAAAGGCCGGTGAGGTTTTCTTTAAAGCGATCCTAATATTTTTAATGATTTTGAAATATGAAGTTCTTAGGAATAATGTATCTGATTAGATAGGCGCATCGCTACACCTTTTTACAGGATGAGGGATGTAAAGGACCAACTTTGCTGACTACGCTTTTGAAAATTTACACACACAACAAAAGGAGGTTAATCACATTTTCAAATTTTCCGGCAAGGAAAGGACGTGTTGTCGGATTTCCCACATTACTTTCATTTTTTTGAGATTTGCCAACAATTTTTAATGTCACACCCCACACCCCCTTCTGATGACCATCCTAAGGGCGAATCGTCAGAAGTAAGAAATCAAAATGTTTAAAAAATGCATTGTCGAAAGCGCACCCCTTTATTACGGTACCTTTGATTTCGAGTTATTTGGTCATTTTAGCTGCAAGTCGGTTATTGGGATTTACAATCGTTTTCGATCTTTTGACTTTTATTTTCTGTTTTAGTGCCAAAAACGTGGTGATTATAAGGGCGGAACTCTACGAGCAACCTGAGGCGAATGGGGCCGGACGTAGACTACTTCAGGAACAGCAAATCTTGGTAGAATACTACGTGCAGGATCCATTTTTGTCTACGAATGTGATTCTTACAACAGAACAACAACGAATGTTCCTTGCTAATGAGGGAGTGAACGACGCCCTGCAGGTATGTGCAGCTTTATTTTGAGAAATATTTAATTAGGGTCACGGTAATTCAATGCCACCCGAATGGTTTCATGTAAGAACCTGATTTAAATAAATTATTATAACTGCTAAATAATACAATTACAGTGAGAGTTATAGACTTCATGGACATGACAAAGGGTTAAAAAAGTGTTTGGACTAGAGTATACTCATTAATTATTTTCCTGAACATAATGGGTAGAAAATATTTCGGCCAATTTTCTGGAAAATTCCCAATTTTGTCACCCGATGTAGATTGAATTTCAGAGAATTTAAATTGCCGTTCACCAAGTTTATTTCATGATCTGTGCTTTAAACTCACTTTTGAATTCTTTTAAAATTCGTTTTCTCATTGCATGGATAAAAGGCATGCACTCAATCGCTCAGTCGTGTACAATTTGTTAAATGACCACTTAGTTAATACCGCCGTGCACGAACTTGCAATTAAGACTATTTAGCCCCAAATATACCTTTCTCTGAATTCAAATTAGTATAATCTTTAATGATTTTCCATATTCTTTAATAATTCTATATTTTTGTGTAAAAGAGTACCAGGTAACCTATCTTACACTATTGTATGCAGATGATAAGTTTTAGTTTTAATTAAGTAATGGCGTTTTAAATAATGACGTTTGTGGCACTTTTACTTTATTTTAGAACATCTAAAAGTCCTGAATTTAATCCATGCAGCTTTTGTACAATTGACCGCTTAACTTTGATGAGTATTATCAGATTGAGCTTTACAGAGCGTTGCAGAGATTTTCAGAGCCGAAGTGATGTATCATAATTCAAAATTTTCCTAAAAGTATGATTGCAAATATTCATAATAAGCACATTTACAGCATTTATTCTTTCAAATTCGAATTTTGTCAATGGGCAGTTTTATTTTCATCCCATTTGTTGTGTACAAAACTCGGGCTTTATTTTTCACTCCCTTCGCCAGTATTTTGATCTGGAATTGTACACATACATGTACTTTTATAAACTTAGCTTGCTGCTAGAGATAGATTGTGATTGTTACATACGTTTTTGAGTAACTTATTAAACCAAAATAAACTCAGATCTGACTAATGTAAGGCCATGGTCATGCCAAAATGTAGTCATTTTTATTGTAATGTTAAGATGCAAATGATAATTGAATAAAAACATTTTCTTTTTTTTTTGCAAAATGAAACGAAATACTATTATTTATGGAGGTTTTAAATTTTAAGTTTGATGATTTCCATTTTTTTCCTCAAAAATTAGAGAACATAGGAAGTGAATGTGCAGTCGTATTACCGAGTGATTGTGATGTCATTCTTAAATTGCCCCGCCAAGTGAAAAATCATTCAAACAGCTTTTTTTAAATTTTATTTCCCCCCTGATTATGACTGTTGTTTTCTTCGTAGAACGACATCGATGGTTACAGTGGCATTGCACCTGTGTACGCTGAACCTTTGGGTAATGATGGACTGGAAGGTTGGGAGATAGCTCTCATCGTTATAGGCTCAGTGGCTGCTGCTGGACTGGTGATTGGAGCCGTAGCTTTCCGTATGTCTAAAAGTAAGTTTAGTCGTAGCTTTCGGTACGTCTGACAAGTAAGTCAGGGCTGTCAACCCTCCCGCAGTTGGAGGGCAAGTCTCACGCCACCACGCTCATTCTCCCGCCGTCCCAATGCTCGTAGCGGGAGGCGTCATTTTTTTCTGCGGCACAGATTGGGGCTTTTTTTTAAAAAGAGGTCTTGATTTTAACCCTAACCCTAAACTTTCCCATAGGCTCAACACGCACCTAACCTAAATCTTTCTTTGGTATTCTTAACGTGTAATGTTATTTTGAATGTATTTTTAACAATCTTTTTAACGTGTAAATATTTAAAAATGCAACCTGACACTTTATTATTATGTCAGCATGTAAACATGAATAATCCAGCTTCTGCTGCTTTTCATGTAAAATGACAATTATGATGCATGTTTTTGAAATTACATAATAAACCATTATTGAATTGAATTGAATTGAATTGAATAGGTCATATTTGGACATGTGGTCACCTTTTCTCATGCTTATAATTATTGTCATAACAAGAACTTGTCACTAGATGGCTTTGGATTTATCAGATGAATGATACATTTTCGACGGGGTTTTCTTTTTTAGCAAAGAAAAGAGCAAGCATATGGATCTGGAACTGCAGGACAAGAAAACTATACCGCAAACGGAACATACTGGAAATGGCTATTCTACAGTCGTAGCAACCGTTTGGACACACCAAAGACGAAACCTTCCGTGGATGAAGCGGATGTTGCTACACAGGTAAATTGTATTAAAGCCCCATTGTCCTACTTGTAGCTACTTGCTCCCTCTATAGAAAACTTCCCCAATCGGTGCCTGTTGGTCCCCCATGATCCTCTTTTTCTTATGTTAGTTGAGAGCCGAGTAATGAGATAGCCACCTGTCAGTGACCTCGCTGTGTGGTCTAATCCCTTCTGGCCCAGTAGTATTGACGGTCTTTAAGTGCTGGGTTTTTAATTCAAATATTATTATCAACAGGGACGGCGATTTCTTGTCGCTTGAGATGGATGGTACAGGAAATCCAACTGCATTCGATATAAAATGTATTTCATTTTAACTTTTAATTCTAGTAGACAATATACAAGGGTCACGCATGTGCTATGTCATGTGGTACAGAATGACAGACAAAGTTGCAGTGCTCCGAACATGGAACTATTGTCTATAGTGATTAAATCTGTTTACCCAACCTCGAAACAGTCGAATAAGAAATGCATAGCATAATTAGGTCTATATGAGCAGTTTGTATGGTTGTACAGGGCCTTGGCCTTCCGATTCCTTAAATTTGACAAAAACCTTCATCTGCAAAATAGATATATTTTAATAATACATAAGTAACGTCTACATTTACTATCATTTACAAATTGATATTGAATTTACGTTGATTTGACTCCTTGGAGCTGACTCTGATCGGTAATTTGCATAGAATCATTGGTATAAAAAGAACACCAAAACCCATTTTACTTACGTGATTTGATAAATTAAGCCTTTGATTATTCTAAAAACTAATATGTTCACAGAGTATCACAGATAACCAACTTACCTTCATTTCGGGAAGCTGTCCAAATAATAATAATAATAATAATAATACATTAATGGAGCGCAGAAACTATCCAAAAAACTACTGCGCTACAAGAGCTCCTGATATGCTTAGATTTACAGTTAATTAAAAAGATGTGTTTTCAGTTTTGATTTAAAGATATTTACAGATGGTGATTTCTTGACTTCAAATGGCAAGTTATTCCAGAGTTTTGGGGCTGCACAAGCAAATGCTCGATCGTTATTTTTGTTTTGATAGATGGGATCTGCAGCAACAAAGTATCTCGGGAACTGCGCAAGTTGCGATTGTGTTGATTAAGACAGTTTGTAATTCAACAGTTCTTTGATATAAGTGGGAGCTTGACCAAGAAGTGCTTTATACACAATCAGCAAGATCATACATAATTGAAATACTTATGGATATTTTAATGATTGTACAGTATTGCTAACTTGCCCAGTTTTTGTGTTCCAATTAATTAATATATCTCACCATTATTTGAAGTTATCTTGTTATTCTTGGTTGTGCAGTGTTTATATTACTGTATTTTATTTAAAGGTAAAGACCAGTATTGGAAACGCCCAATTTCAAAAAATGAAACGGAAGCTCTCATTACCAACCATGTGAAAGAATATGTTTTGACTATTAAATACTTGATGATAAAAATTTGCCGGGAAACCGCCTACTAATTCATATATTTGGTAGTTTGTTTCTCTCATCGTCTGTGAGAGATATAGGGTAGTCCCATATACATCTTTCTGTGTATAGTGCTTGTAACTTTACGAAAAATGGGCCAAATTTCTTATCATTTTGATGATTCCAGAACCTTGCAGATGCTAGATGCTAGATGATCAACCTTTTCTGATCGATTCCACAACGTTTCTTTCACAATCCAATCGCATGACCATAACTGGTCTTTACCTTTAACCAATTTTCAATGTATGCTATTTTTAAATATTTTAAACTATTGTAAATTCAATTTGTTTCAGCATTTGGATGCTATTTTGAATATTTATTTTTTGTAAACAATAAACCAGTTCAATCAACGAATCAAAATCATTCTTTTATCTGTAGTATGAGAAATTGACCCAAGAAAATTGAACGTGGATTTTCAGAACCTCAGAATTTTAAAGTAGGGGTATCATACATTATTATCTGACATCATCGTTCAAAAGGCTAATAGCGGCCATTTTGGGAATTCATGCAAATTTCTCAAAGTTGCTCATTCAGCAACAAGGCTGAAGTTTTTCGTAAACCTCCTTGGATCACAAAAAAGTACTTCAACAGCAGGAACTTTTTGTGTTTGCCAATTATCGACTTATAATCATTATATATTTCTTGGGAAAATGCATGAAATGCCAGAAATAGGTCATACTTCAGAAATACATTCAATTGGCTCTTGGAACTCATACTGACCATGCAATAACCATTATTTAGGGTACGCATATGCATGTTCTCTTCTTTTGAAAACACCCCTTAAGTCCGGTGTGTAAAGTCTTTTTTGTGTATATACGAGCCGGACTTTGGTGCGTGAAAAGTACCCCTTTACCGGACATTTTGGTAACACGCATGGTATCCCTCCGTTCACGGAATCGGGGGGGGGGGGCGGGTGAGCGAGTCATCATTTTTTCGAACTTGTGTTTTTATGCAAAACCCTGATTTGATTTGATTTACCAATATAAAAACATATAAATAACAATATACATGATAACATGAGAAAATAACATTGGATGGATCGCCCTGCTCAGCTAAATTACAAGTTAGTCGATAGCGTATTCCTCAATTTTTGTTTGTTCAACAGGTGAAATACAAAGATATAGTGTCTGCAACAGGATTCGAAGCAGTTGAAGGAAAACCCAAGAATGAAGCTAATCCGACTTTGAGCAACAACGAGAATAAGCCGAATGGAGGAACTTCAATGGTAGTGACTGCGGAGATTTCATCATCCTCATCTGGTTCTTCTACGTCATCAGAGCATGGAGATACTGAGCTTGATGCAGTAAGAATCAATTTTACAAAATATTGTAGGAAGAAATGGTTGCAGAAAATACTGTCGTTGAAAAAATAAATTTGTTAATAGCACATCAAAATGTTCTCGATCTTTAACATTTTAGAAATGAGGTATCATTTCTAACTTGGTTTTTACTTCCATGGGGTAAGAATTAACGAAAATATAATATGAAAAATCTACAACAACATACAGTTGCAGGCCGGTGCAAACTAGGGGTTCGTAGGGTTTTTTTTTTTGCTCAAGAGGGATGGGGAGGGGTTGATTAAAAAGAAAGTTCTGCTCCATACTCCCTCCCGTTGAGCAGGAAAAAAAAAAAAATTAGTGCTCACTACCCCCCCCCCCCCCCCCCCCCCCCCCGCTTATTCGCCAGCTGATCCGCCATTTAAGTGCACATTACCTCCCTCGCAATGTCGTTTCACTATCACCTCTGGCTCAAAGTTGGCAACCCTAAAACCACCCTCCTCACAAAAAGCTTGTACCTGGCAAATATGCAATATTGCTTTGAGTGTTAACCATCTACCGGTATCTACCACAAAACTTTCAGCTTTAAAACAAAATTCACAAATATTGAGCTAAAGAAGAAGAAGAAAAAAATGAAGAATGATGGCTATGGCTCCCGACTAGAGATGAAGATGGTCATAATATGATGTTATTACTGAATCCTTGAGAAATCAAGGCGGTTTTAAATATCATGCCAGGCGACTTCAATACCAAACCTTAGTTTGGCGTGGTTTGCCAATGATAAAGGCTATTCAAGCCAAAGTCACACTAGGCGTACGACCGGTTACCGACTTCTGACAACTATGAAAAGCTGCGGCCAACGACAACATATTTTCAAAAATGTATAGCGTGCGATAAGTTGTTATTTGCCGACCGCCGAAAGATTTGCAGTTGATCTCCGACTTTTAATAATTATGACCACTATAAATCGCCGAATGACTGCCAACCATTTGCCAGCATTTCCGTGAGCGGTCCAAATTAGTTTACAAAAATCTTTGATGATCGGTCAATTTTCGTTCCACATTCGGTAACCAATCGGCATCTGATCTCCCGTAAATATAATTGTGTAAATTGATTGTCGATAGCGGCAGCATTTTAAGGCAAACTCACACAGTCCCGGGTTGCCAGCAATGGAGGACCCTGTGTGTTGAATAAAGGTTAATTCATTTCCTATCTATTTACGTTGATAGGTAGCATTGGGACAGTACAATATGGATATTCGTACTACGGTCCTATCAAGACGCGATGTAACCTGGTACGGTCCCTCATCTGAAGAGACATACTTCGAAATACCTCCAAATATGCATGTCGAACTAATACCCGGTTATTGTTGTAATCATGATTTCGGTTTCGCGAACGCGTATTAAGTAGTAAATATGAGGTTAAATACTCCGACAACCCCCCCCCCCCCCCCCCCCCGCCCCGCCCCCTAGAGCTACCCCGTGGTAAATACAATATGTAGTGGTGAAAATTTAGATGCCATTCAACTAAATAGACATGCATGTAGCAATATTAAATGGATTTTATTTCGTGAGATAACAGAGAATGTTGTTTAAAAAATATTTCATTCGTCGTGCCTACTCTTGAAATAGTTATTCTCCTCAGCACTGTATCCTACTCACGGGCTTCAATGTTATGCAATTACTGAAATACTTATGACATGAATTCCTTCTTTCCTGTAGACTGCACAGGAACAGCAAGAGATCCCACCAAAATATGAGCCACCACCACCCATTACAGATACGGATCCAGGAACGGATCCAGGAACTGAGGAAATACTTGCTCAAGTGGAAGAGGCAGAGGTGTTTAACGAGTTCGACAAACTTGTGGCCTCTCAATCAGGGTAAGAGAACATTCTTTAAATTTTATTACCCAGTTCAGGAAGTTTAGTGACGATAAAATCTGAAAAATTATTAAAAGAACATACAAAGGAATTAATGTACTTTCATATTAATTTGATGTTTGATAATGTAAATGCCGCATAAATTTAGCTGAAGAGATTTCGAGAAATCTATGGAGATTTGTGATGCACAGTAAAACTGTTGACTACATAAAGAAATGAAAACAGAAAGTGAATTCAATTGCCTCAACATGAAACATTTCTTGAGATATCACCTTAAAATTGCCACAAACGATTGCATCTTTAAAGGGCAGTCTTCCCCTTTCTTAGGGTTTTGGTTATTTAGGCCTATATACCTATATATCATCGTAGAGATGTCTCTATGCAATAAAAACTTAACAAATTGAATTCATGGGCAAACGCGAGTACATTCAAGATATTTCTTGTATTTTGGAACTAAATCTGTTCGCTTGGACCTTGCTATACCATGCTTGTGCAATTTCCTCTCAATCGATTTGGGTTTGCGAAAACTAATAACGGAACATTCTTCATTATATGCCATAGTTACGCATTAGCAGGGAATTTGATTGTTTCCTCGAATCCTCGTTGGAAGAATGTTTCGGAGAACGCAGTTGTCGGTGTGTATTTGATTGTTTCCTCGTTGAGAGAATGTTTCGGAGAGCGCATTCGTCGGTTTGTATTTGAATGTTTCCTCGTTGGAGGAATGTTTCGGAGAGCGCAGTTGTCGGTTTGTATTTGATTGTTTCCTCGTTGGAAGAATGTTTCGGAGAGCACATTTGTCGGTGTGTATTTGATTGTTGCCTCGTTGAAAGAATGTTTCGGAGAGCGCAGTTGTGGTCACGTGTATTTGATTGTTTCTTCGTTGAAGAATGTTTCAGAGACCGCATTCGTCGGTTTGTATTTGATTGTTTCCTCGTTGGAAGTTTCGGAGAGCGCAGTTGTCGGTGTGTATTTGATCGTTGCCTCGTTGGAAGAATGTTTCGGAGAGCGCATTTGTGGGTGTGTATTATTTTGATTGTTGCCTCGTTGAAAGAATGTTTCGGAGAGCGCATTTTTCGGTGTGTATTTGATCGTTTCCTCGTTGGAAGAATGTTTCGGAGAGCGCATTTCGGTGTGTATTTGAATGTTTCCTCGTTGGAAGAATGATTCAGAGAACGCAGTTGTCGGTGTGTATTTGATTGTTTCCTCGTTGGAAGAATGTTTCGGAGAGCGCATTTGTCGGTTTGTATTTGAATGTTTCCTCGTTGGAAGAATGTTTCGGAAAGTGGTCGGTTCGTATTTGCGTTATACTATGATTCCATATACATGTATTTAAATCTTCTTGATAATTTTAAAAAATACAGTCGCCAAAATGTTCTGAAAGTTAATGTATATATGTGTTTCTTTTGAATTCATTCATGGTTTTACTATTTTGAATGGCAGCCACAATAGTTAAATTGCTCACAATTTGCAAATTTATGTTTAGAACAGCAACGAATATATACAAATGCATACCGAAGCTTTCCGTCTTGTACTCATCAGAGTAAATGGCAATAATGCATTTAATCATACGTTTTAATGCATACACACATGCGGAAATATTCAATTATAATTATACATGTAACTAAAAAAAAGAGATGACATTATAAAATTAGGCCGTCTAATAAATAAGAAAACATGCTAGGTCTATCCATCTAAATATCTCCTTCCGGTTCGGAGGTTGGTTGCAACATCTCTCCATTTCCATCTTCTGCCATTCTGGTGCACTCTTGCAGTTTAGTCCACTCCAGTTCTTGACATTCCCTTCTCATTTGATTGTGGGTCTCCCTCTAGGTCTACTTCCTTCCACTCTTCCTTCCAATACATCCTTCAAGAGGCTTTGGTGCCTTTTAACATGACCAAAGTAATTGATTTTTCTCTCCTTAACTAATCCTACCAGTGCATTTTTTTACGCCCTGCCATGTGCAATATCTCTTTCTTGGTTTTCATTCGTTTCCAGAATATTTTTATCATTCTTCTGTAAATCCACATTTCAAAAGATGTTATTCTATTTACCATGGCCTTGCTTATTGTCTATGTTTCTGCTCTATCTATAGAGCTATAGCTCTATGGAGTCATTCAATAGGACAGACCATATACATAACAGTTTATTTTGTTATTTTGATTTTGTTGTGGATTTGTGACATTTCAGTTTGATCGTAAACTTTTCATATATTTATACTTTTCCAATTGACCCATCATGTTGTAGAGAGATACGGTGGAGGGGAGGGGGGTGCGGGGCAGAAACGATTTTGCACCCCCCACGCTTGGTAGAATGAAACAACTGCCCCCTCACTTTTGATGCCTCTGGCATGCTTGGGAGAAACGGTTTCTACAGTACTTAGAGAAACTGCTCATATGCAAGTGTGTATGGAATTTAAGTTTATATAGCAACAACAGAGGCAAAGAGAGGCTCGACTCCCCTCTCCCGAACAATTTTCAATCCACCCAATCAAATATATCTAATTGTTTTTCACCTACCATCGTCAAAAGAAGAGTATATTTTATTAAGTTGCAAGATCAAAGTGCTCTCAATACAAATAGCCAAACTTCAAAACGTAATATTTTCTAGCTACGCGACCTCGCAATTTGAAATGATTTACCAAGGGTATCGCTACTGTACAATGCAAAGTTATAATACTTCGAAATGTATAATCTTCTCATGGGGAGGATTGATATCCAAATTTTTATTGTGTCCGTATAGTACATATAAGAAAACATTCCTAATCTAATTGGCTCAGCCCTCTCAAAATTGTTTTGTTCTTAACGCCAATGGTATACACCTTCATGATTTGACCAATGGAAATATCTGATACATGTATCATTCTCTCTGAATTATTGCATATTGATGGTGGTTGATATCAATCGTCTTATATATTCTCTTATTTTCTGCGCAGGGAGCTTGCAGTGAACTCAGCAGCATTTAAGAACCCAGGCTTTGTGACGTCGCCTGATGAAGGCAGTACTCAGTAGTGAAGGCCCATCGAATCTTCTTTTCACATGGACACCTTTTCATCATACCAATGATCGCATCCATAGGCGTATGGACACAATGTCACCAGGGGAGATGATGTATTTTGACAGAATATTAAATTTGCAGTTTCTAAATCATACGATCAAGCAATCAGAAAGCGGACACAAAAATGACACTTTATTTACCGTCAACATGTAGTTTGTCATAACTAAATAAGATGTTTTACGAATAGACCCTCTTGCTGCCAAAATATGAGGCAACTGCTGCCCTTATCTTGGTAACTTTTACATTTTCAGGTGATACAATGGACCCAGACCCTTTACAACCGCCCCCGTACGCCTCCGATTACATGTCAGGTGTTGGAATTAGATTCCTGGTTGAAGCAGTCACGCAGTAATGGTTCATATTGTTTAATATACAAAATTCGACATTTTCTGAAATTTACCACACTTTCAATTTCTCTTGTATTACTTAACTTGAATCAAATACTTCTGTCACATTCAACGCCATATGCCTCCACTATTCGGGACCAAAATAATTAAGTTCTTAATTAATCCGGTGTGATTAATGGATTTTTTCATTCTCCTTCCAGAATGTTAAACAGGCTTGGCATAGGTGAACAAAGTAATAGGCCAAATAAAATGCCAAATCTAACCTTATCAACATTTATTGTGAATGTACTACTGTTCCCTTTCTGTAAACTAACTCAGAGGCGTTCCGAACAGATTGGTCGAAGGGATAATGCCCCCTCCCCACCATAATATTGAAACCCTTGTAGATATGTAAGATGTTCATTGAACATCAAACTTAATTTACAATAGTTTTAAAGAAGAAAAGTATAACTTAAGTTCCTGTTGTCATTTGCATATTACTTGATCTTCGTTAATGAAAAGCTATATTCCGTAATGGTTGTTTATGTAATTTCTGTAAAAGGTTATATTGATAATCGTGATAGTAACAATAATAATTATAATAATAATAATAACAATAATAATAATAATAACAATAGTCATCATTATTATAATAATGATAACAGTAATGATACTACTTCTGCTAATGGTATATTAGTCAGGGAAGCCTGCAATATTATTATCCTAACAATTTCCAGGTAACAATTTACACGTGGATGGAGAGTGGCAAGGGAGCATTTCTGTCTTGCCAAATAGTGCCAAGCTGAGTAATCACTAGAATTTTCCCTTTTATATAGCATAATATTCCAATTGTTACAATGGCAAAATTACATAAACAATCATACATCATATTCTTAAAGTGTAAGATGGTGAAGAAAATGTGTAAAAACTCTGACGTATTTCATTTTATTTACTTCAGTGTCGAGGCACTGATGTGTACGTATCGCAAAATACTAAAGTTTTAACAGAAGCAAAATCCACGGTACTTGAAAGCAAAGGCTTCCTAGAAAATGCACATGGATATCAATTCCATTTTATCTCTTTTCATATGATAATAAAACGTAGATACATAATTATGTGGTTTCGTTTAATTTGAACTTGATTTGATATGACCAATAAACCGCTGATTAAAAATAAAAATACTATTGCAGTTAACGTATGTGTATGATTGTGTTTATTCCTAACCGCTTGTTTGCGAAAATGTATAAGTTAGAATCGTCTGGCTTAAGTGGTGTAGCCGAACCGCCGAACCGAATTGAAATTGCTAGTGGGATCGATAAATATGAACATACTGCTGGGGTGTTCCTGGACTTCTCCAAGGCTTTCGATACAATTAATCATGATATACTTTTGTACAAACTCAGTTATTATGGAATTGAGGAATAGCCTGACAGTGGTTCAGGAACTACCTTCACGATCATGATAAACTCAGGTGACTTTAAAGTTCGTGATCTGGTTAAAACTCTCTAATCATCTCGCAGGAAGATTACACAATAAACAAAGAATTCAAATTCTGTTAAGTGTATCAAAGAATATCATCTTCTTCTTATCTTTATTACTTTACTTCTTATCACAATAGAAATACATATAAAGATATAAAGAATATATTGAACCCAACCCTGAGGTTGTATTCTTAGCTGTCACAGAGTAACACATTTGGACAGAGCATTGACACTAAAAATGGTCGTAGGTTTATCGTAAGTCTGGAGATATAAATAAAATAACCCACTTTAGTGATGCAATCATTCTCAAGATGTGATATTAAAATATTGTTCATGGGAATAAAGAAACCATAGTTGTTACTATTGCTGGTACTTGTCCACCGTAACGAAGGTGTTGCTCCATCTGTTAGCACCTTCAACTCTCATTAAGGCCTTAGTCGTTGGCGATAGGGTTCTACCCATTGTGACATGAAACTTTGATAGAGGACTTGTTCTGTAAGTCCTAGCCGGAACATCATAGTTTGACTTGGTTTACTAAAATGCAGGGAATCGGGGCTGGTGATCTTGACCCTCATTGGAACTTAGACTTGCAGCGCAAAATGCCATGTTTTTGAGCTTTGAAACAACTTTCATTCACCTCCAACCTATAAGTCCCGCCTGTATGACTTGTGTGCAGATAGTGACACTACACTGCTAGGTAAGGCAACCCACCCACTGTAGCTATGCACAGGCGCGTACGCAGAGGGGGGGGGGGGGTGGGGGTTACCCCCCCCCCCCCTTCGTTTTTTTCCCCATGGCTGACCTAAAAAAAGTGTCCCCCCCCCCAACGGAGAAAAATGTCAAATTTTCAAATTTCGAGACCAAAAAAAAAAAAGTGTCCTCTTAACCCCCCCCCCCCCCCCGCTTATTCAGCGGCCGGCTGAGTCGTTGAGATTTTTTGGGGACCCCCCCCCAAAAAAAAAGTATCGTCTTACCCACCCCCACCCCCACCCCCACCCCCCCCCCCCAAAAAAAAGTGTCCTCTTACCCACCCCCCCCCCCCCCCACTTATTCAGCGGTTGACTGAGTCGAAATTTTCGGCCCGATTTAAAAATGTTAACCCCCCCCCCCCCCTTGAAAAAATCCTGCGTACGCGCCTTGCTATGTTGGAGCTATGTAGAGCCTAACTACCAAATGCATTCGACCCAATTCTTTAATCTACATAACAAATAAGCGGGTATTGAGGGGAAAGGTTGAATCCTATTATGAATCCTAACAGTGATGGTAATGGTGATGGTGGTGATGATGATGATGATGATGATGATCGTGATGATGGTGATGGTGATGACTATGATATGATAATAGTGATGATGATGGTGATCAGGCGTGTACGCAGGAGGAGGGTTTAGGGGGGTTAACCCCCCCCCCTTTGATATTTAAAAAAGGTGACCTTACGACCCTCAACGAAGAAAAATGTCAAAAAATTGTCCGCTTACCGCCCCCCCCCCCCCCCCTCTCCCCACTGAGAGACTTTTCGGCCGGCGCGATTTTTAAATTTTTGGGAGCAAAATAATAAAGCTGAGTCGTTGCGAAATTTTGGGCCCGAGTTGACCCCCCCCCCCTTGAAAAAATCCTACGTACGCCACTGATGGTGATGACTGATGACGATGATAGCAATTTTAGGTCCTAAAAGGCCCTTACAAATGTCATAGATAAAAATAAGAGCCATAGCCATGCACTTCGAAGGCATTTGTGGTCTGAAAACAGAACTCAACTATCCCTTTAACAAATGTATTATGCGCTTTATGAGAACTGTACTATTATTATGATTATCATTATTATTACCAGTAGCTATTGTGACATCACATAGCCAATGTGCAAGAAACTGTGATGACTACGATGGTGACAATGAAGAAAATGATGATGGGGCTTGAATGACATTATAGTAGCCATTTCACGTCAAAAGGGTTGCTCTTGAATCACCTCGTATGGGGCAGTTATCACTATTGGGATAGTCAAGTTTTACAGTAGACTCACGTCGAGTTGAATTTTCAAATGATCCTGTCTATTAGTATTAAACATCTGTAGATCTAGGCCTAAGTTGAAAAAATTGTACTGGCTCTAGCCTACTGCTATTTCGTTTAGGTGTCATTTATTGATTTTGAGTGAAATTTGTACAGTGGTGTTTGAATGTTAAAAATCAAAAGAACAGGTTTTAATACACGGCCAGGATAGTAATGCAGCTATGTGTGGCCCAGTGGCGGATCCAGGTGGGGGCCCCCTACCCTGGGGGAAAACGTGTAAAAACGGGTGAATTTTACCCTTTTTTTTAAGACGGGCCCCTTCCCCTGACGCTCAAGGGGAGGGGGTACTATTTTTTTTAATTTTCGAGGGCCAAAAAAATGAAATTAGTGCTCACTAAGTGGGAAATCTCCGAGTTACCATGGAAACAACGTTTAAATCGCTGTTTTGACCAAGATATTTTTAGAAATCTGAAATGACACCCCTTTGGAAATATGGAAATTAATCTGCTCTTTCATAATGACACCTCATTTCTTGAGTTTTTACCCTCAGGATCAGAACAAATAAAGGTTTGAATCTCAATTTTTTTTTTAAAACGTTGACTAATTTTGCATGGTCGCGCAATGCACATAGACTGCATAGGGATGTGTCCAATGTCTATGGGAAGAGTTTTAGCCAAAGACGTTTAGAGGACAAGTCCACTCGAAAAATAACTTACCTTCAATAAAAGCAGAAAAATCAGATATACCAATCAAAAAGAGTTTGTGCAAAATCGGATTACTAATAAGAAAGTTATGAATTTTGAAAAAGCATGCATATAGCTCCGTTTAGTCTCATTTCATAACGCCCCCTATCGTCAGAGTCAGCAGCAATACATGTTAGCCTATATTGTACAATTCCCCCAAAACTTGATTCCCCCATGCCTTTGCCCAGGTTATATGATTTGTATCATATTGCGAGCAAGACATTTCACAAAATCTTTTATGAACTTTGAAGAATTTATACTTTTTTTTCTGAATATTGTATATTCATAATTATTGATTTTTATATAAATAGTTTATCAAAATTCACATTTTCATGATTTAACAGGAAAAAATGACTCTATATTAGTGCATCCACACAAAAACATATTACTATCAATCTAACTTGGATGCTGGTGTGAAGAAATTAGATTCTGAAGGAGAAAATAGGAAATTTATATCATCAATATTATACAAATAACGCACGTCCCAGAGTGCAATAGCGGTGAATGCAGTACGCGCGAGGTTTCTTTAGATTGGTGCCGCTCTGTGCAACGAGCCGCTTGCGGCGAGTTGACAGTGCGAACCATCTGAAGAAACCGAGCGTTTACTGCATTTACGTTTTGCACAACAGGGTCAAGTGCGTTATTTGTTTTATAAAATAGCGACACAAATAGCAAAAACGAAACTTTAGATCTAATAAGTTAGAGTCTACGAGAGTTCGATCTAGATCTAGATCTAGAGTTATGTTGGTTCTACTTCTAATTAACAAAAGTTAGACTAAGACCTTGCAGGCTTACCAAAAAGTCAATGGGATTCATTGCCTTGATTAAAAATAAAATCCATACAGTGGGTCTAGTGACGAGTCTACATCAGACAGCTGAAATTCCTGGCTTCATTATAAAATCCAAAAGTCAAAACAGGCCTAAATCCAAGGCAAAAGTAAAATAAAAATTTGCTTTTTAATAATACCCCGCTGGCCGCTCTAGCTAGCTAGCTAGAGCTAGCTACGCGTACGTTGCGCTGGGGATCATGGTGGAGCGTACAATATTAGCTACGCGTAGCCTACAATAATTGCAATGCAACTCGAGGGAGCGCGTACTACACGTACGCGCGCGCACTGGATCTCCATGGTCACGCGTACGCACCGTGCAATATAACTTTTTACTGCGCTTTTTCTGCACTCATTTCTGCAAAATCGTGCTTGCATCAAAAATTTTTCAATGCCATGTGACGCGTATTGACCAATCACGATGCTTAAAATACTAGAGCCATTTTATAAAAAGAAAATAATTAGTGGATAGTACGTGAGGACATGACGTCGAAGACTCATGAGTGAGTTGCCAATTCGTCTAGTTATTTTTTAAATTGTTTAATGTCATTAAAAATTCATAACTTTCTAATTAGTTGCTCAGACTTTTTTTGATTGGTTAATCTAATTATTCTGAGTAAGTTATTTTTGGAGTGGACTTGGACTTTAAATATAATTACAAGGTGCGCAAGTGTGTGATTGATAGCGCGCGCAGAGTGGACCAGATAAAGGTGAGTTCTGGGCCCCGTCTTACAGTTACGATTAATGCACATCAATCGCAGGTCCTCCAATCAATTCGCAAGTTTGCAGTCTCCTATCTCTTATGTACATAGTTGCGATTGATATGATCGCAAATAAGTTGGGATTGATATCAACTCTTTGTAAGACGGGGCCCTGGTCATCCGATTGCATTGTGAAAGAAAAGGTGTATAATGGATCAGAAAAGGTTGATCATGTAGCATGTAAGTATTGGTGTGTACTGAAAAGTTCTAGAATCACCAAAATAATAATAAATTTGGCCCATAATTGGTAAAGTAGCAAGCACTGTACACAGAAAGATGTTGTAGTAGGGCCCAAATTAAGGCTAGCAGACTACGAACGACGGCTGGACCTAGCAGACATCATATGCCGCCCTCACCTCTAGAGGGCGGCATTCCACTTCGGAGACCAAGCCGTGATGTCATTTCTTATCTTCATACTAGGTCTAGGCCTACTAGATCTAGCCTAGGCTACCGCCTGAATATCTTCTACAATCTATGGATGACATTACCCACAAGGATTTCAGGTGAGTGACAAACAGTGATGTGTGAGAAGTAGGCGCTCATGTCTACATTATTGGCGTCACGGTCAACTAGGACCTTAGGATGCACCGTTTTGGGGAGATTTTGTCTCTGTTCTTTTGTATGTTTTCTCCAACGGAACGGGGTCCCGCGCCTAGGCCGGCCGAGCCGGCTGGAGTAGCGCGGGGGAGACCCCGCTGCGCATTGCATGGGAAACCGAGTTTCCATAGTGATGGCAGTGGGTTAGCCCGCGAGTACTACTGACAACCAGTACGATTTAGTCGTATTTAGTACGATTTTTAGAAGCAAATACGACAGTACGATTTTCCTTAATAAAATACGATTTTCAACAATTTTTTTTTTTTTTTTTTAAATATTTTTTCATTTAGACTAGAGTCTAGACCCTAGACCCTATTTTTTATTAATATTTTGTGTGTGCGTCCGCCATTTTCAATGGCAAAATTTCCATTCTGTCCTGTAAAGTATCCTACAAGCATTTCATATCGGCAATTTGGGGATGTTTATTGGTTCATCAAACACACCAGTCGTGACGAAATAATGAATATTCAACCAATGATCAATAAAAAAAAATCTTCCTGGTTGTAGAAACTGTAAGAGGCAGTGATCCGCGTAATAATCCGTTTTTATTTTCAAGAATACAACTTTTGTCAGTAAAATACAACTTTTGACACTAAAGAATACAGTTTTTGAACTCCAGAGGTTGGCACTATTTCCGGCTGGCATTGTGTGTGTGTAATTGGGTTTTTACAGACGTGTATCAACCAGATATGGGGACCGACTTTTAACGTCACCAGCCGAAAGACGTGACTCAATTTCGAATCTGCGTCCTCAGCCCGGCTGAATCAGTTTGTAACTTCGGTTGTGATTGTGAGCTGGATTACATGTACAACGCCTAGTTCGTTGTAACCGTGGTCTTCATATGTGCCCAGCTGGGGAGCGTCTATTTTTTTCCGTATTAAGGTAGCCATCCTGTCGCTGCATTTGATCGGCCGAATATTCGGGTATGATAAATCGTACCCGAGTAGTTGTCAACCGTGCGGGTACTCGCAGCCTTACTCAATAGGACCAAGTCTTTACATCATGCGCTAGTTATCAATACTCATGTTACGCGCGCACACTGAATCTGCAATGACTGGAACACACTTCCTGAAGAGGTAGTCACTGCTACCACGGTGAATGCCTTTAAAGCCAGACTGGATCGAGTATGGAAGGACAAGCGTTTCTGCTCCCCATATGAGTAGAATACCCGATACAGAACCGAGCCAGACCAACTTACCAAGATGAAGACACCCAACTACGAGAAGGAAGACAATGAAATTGAACTGGACTGCTGAGAACACAGCATTCTTCCAGAATCACGGTTTAAGGTAAAGGTAAATGACAACAGCTGAAGTTGTACATACAGAGGACAAATGGGAAGCTCCATCTCAGATGATGAGGTCTGTGCCGATGATGAGGTCTGCTCCATACGAACCAATACTGCATCAGCTTCTACTCAAACAGCTGACAAGGAAATACTCACTCCAACGATGGCATCCAAGTCAACACAACATGACACCGCCCATTTACAAGTAAATATTGAGGGAAATGACAGCCAACCCTCAACTATGCAGATCTCCAATGCCAGCTACATTTGTACAAGAAATGTAAAGATCGCTTGAAACAAATAAGTAAAGTAGTAAACTGAAATGCGAAAAAAACTCCAAGTCTGCTTCTGTAGCAACTTCTCTAATAGTGAATGAAAAACTAGCACTGGAACTCGGCCAAGCTAAAAGAGAGACTCAGCTAGCTGAGGAACAAAACCAAAAGATAAGGAACATTCTGGAACAAAAGCAGAGTGACTACCTGGCCTTGTAGAATACCAGGAGAGCCTTGCCGTCATATCCAACATCCTATCCACCCACACCGATGACGCCATCGTCATTTCAGGCGACTTCAATGCTGACACAGTCAACCCTAATTATACAAAAGATCCCTAGGATACCTCCGAACCTTTCTGAAAGATGCAAGCCTAGCTAATCAGCATAACAGAGGAACTTGGAAGCCAAGGAAATTTCACCTATAGATCGGACGATCGTGCAAAAACATCATTTATAGATGGCTTCCTAACGCTTAGATCATCACTCTACCAGTTTGCTGATCTCACCATTGGCCCTGACACACCTCTGAACACTTCGGATCACCTGCTGGTAAGAATCGAATGGTCTATAGTGCTACCATGTAACTCACATACAGATCGACCAAGGCATGCAACAACCACTCAGCCAGCCCAGAAACTGCAAAGACTAAAAATCAAATGGACAGAAGCATCCAAAGAACAGATAGTGGCTCAATATACTGATGAGTGATCCCCTTGAAATTACAGCAAGGCAGTTGTTCACTTCAATCCACAAGAGAGTGCTGGACAACACATCTGTGGACGACTTGCTTCATAAGCTGACCACGGGCGTGATTGAAACTTCACTCAGCCTCCCACACTGCTATCCTTCCATAGGTAAACATGGCAAAGCAGAATGGACCTCGAAGGTCGAAGACTCATACAACGCCGTCCTTGAAGTCTGGAAGAGATGGAAAACGGCCAATAAGCCTCGCAGTGGTGCCCTCTTCAGACTACCTCCTATGCAAAAAGGACTTTCGAAGTCAGCTCTGCCAATCTCGAGCCCATGCACAACAGAAAACTCTGGAACTGCATCCAGAACGCCTGTGAAACGAACCAGCAACCAATGCTCTAACTATCTGCCCTAACCAAAAAATCCTTCTTAATGCATCATTGTCATTTTTATACAATATCCACTCTGCTCGTGCCAATGCAATCTCCAATATACAGGTACATTCTACCTGACATGACAATCCTGCCTGCTATGACCATGGACCTACTTGATATGACAACCCTGGTAGCTGCTGATCTCCTAGAGCGGAAGAAGAAGAAGAAGTATATACAATAATTATAAACTAAATTAAATGCTAAATATTTATGATGGTCTAGTGCTATTTGATGTTTACATTTTGTTTAATCCAAACGAAAAAGTGATAGCTTAGTTTTTTTGTAGCGCCCTGACTTCCCCCCCCCCCCCCATCTATCCCCATCGGTATTAATTTCAATGATTTTTGAGGTTATATCTTTATAAATATACATGTATATGAAAATTAGCTTTTTCTTTACAATAATTTTTTCTATACAATAATTCTTTCTAAATTGAAGTGTTCTACATGTGGTTAAAGAAAAACCGAGGCATACTTTTTGTCTGGCTAAAATCAGCCAGTTAACCTCTCCCCCCACCTTGTGCGTGCGGCAAGGGTGTGTATTATAAATTGGGAAGATTGACAAATGTCAGTTTTAAGAATTCCCCATACCAGATGGTTCTTTCTGTGTGCCCCGACAGAGTTGTGGCAGTGCGCCTAGGTCGGCCAGGTGAAACGTGAGAAACCGCTAATGTGGTTCTACAACAGAACTTAGGTAGACTACGGTTAGTGAAACGGTGCCCTAGAACTGTGCACCAGTGTAGGTGGTCAAAATGCATATACAGTATGGACCACTAAAATTGGGTGATCACAATGGAAAAGTATCTACCTGCAGTCGCGATCGCAAAGGGCATTTCCTATTCTGCCTGCGCACAAAATTGGAAAAAAAAATATTGAACCAGAGTGTGAATATGTCAAATTATTTTTTAAACAAAAAATTTGAGAAAGCCATTGTAAATATCTGAAATGTTTGAGTCTATATTCAATTTACTTAAATCTGTGACATCAAACCTTGGATTTTACAGCTGTTTTGGGGAGCACCAACTAGCTGCCTATAATGCTATATAAATTCGCCATTTTAACTTCTAAAACAAACTCTATTTCCAGGGCACTTTTCCCTCAACCCTCCCTTAATAGGCATCTAATAACCATGGTGGACAGTCAGAGAATATTAAGTTCAAAATATTGTAGGGCTCTGTTTTACACTATAGGAAAAATGTCCATATTTCTTATTTCGAGGCAGTTTAACCAGAAAATATCTCAAAGGACACTTAAATGTCACAAATACAGAGCTACCAAGTGTCATGCACCGAGGGTCTGAAAACGCTGTCACGCATGGCAACCACTTTTGTCACGCATCAGGGCCAGACTGGGAAAAAAAAGGTAGTAATTGCTAGACTACGTACGTGCAGGCCTCAGCTAGCTCCTCGCAGGGTTCGTGTATGTATATCGCATGCACGTAACATGCATGCAAACCTGCTATTACGTCGCGGCATGCGAGCTATTTCGAAACATACGCTATCGCGCCGAGTCATGAAAATGTCACGCATAGCTTTTCTTTGAACTTGGCATCTCTGCAAATAAATTGTCTTTTTTAAAGGGATAGTTGAGTTCTGTTGCAGAGGGCACTACACAAAATAATTTTTTTGTGAGATAATGAAAAACTGAGTGTCAAATTTGAAAGAACATAATATTTAAGTGATCAAAATCATCTTTGTTTGATCAAAATCGGTTCAGAGACGGCTGAAATATAACGATTTCTAATATTTATGTACCACCACAAATATTAGATATTTTGACAAATTTGAAAAAACCGTTGAAAACCGTTGAAAAAAAACGAAGTAACGCCTTTTACGTCGTATTTCAGCCAATGCCGATGTTGGTTTTTTGGTTGGCATTTTCGTGTTGTTTATATTATCCACATTCAGCCGGCTCATGTATTGTTATTTTTAATTAAATAATTAATTAACGGTCGCCGTGTTTTTTTTTAAGTGGAGCTGAAGTGGTATGATAGTATTGGCTAAATTTTACACATTTTGGGGTCTAGAATTACCTTCATAGCAATTTTATGTTCTAAAAGGGCACTATAAATGTCATAGATAAGAATAAGAGCAATAACCATGCACTTTGAAGGCATTTTCGGTCTGAAAACAGAACTCGACTATCCCTTTAACTCATTTTTATGCCTCCGCCACCGAAGGTGGTGCCGGAGGCATCATGTTTTCGGGTTGTCCGTCCGCACTCAAGAACCATTTAAGATTTAAACTTAAGACTCGGGAATAGTATTTATCACCATAGGAAGACGATCTGATTAGATTTTGGAGTACGTAGGTCAAAGGTCACAGAGGTCAACTTATGAAATTCCTTGTATTGAGTTTGTTAGCGCGATATCTCAAGAACCATTTGAGATTTAAACTTCAAACTTAAGGATAGTATGTATCACCATAGGAAAACGATCTGATTAGATTTTGGAGCACGTATGTCAAAGGTCAAGGGTCACAGAGGTCAACTTATGAAATTCCATACATTGAAATTGTTATCATGATACTTCAAGAACCACTGGAGATTTAAACTTCAAACTTAGTGATAGTGTGTGTCACTATAGGAAAACAATCTGATTACATTTTGGAGCACGTAGGTCAAAGGTCAAGGGTCATAGAGGTCAACTTATGAAATTCCATACATTGAGATTGTTATCATGATATCTCAAGAACCACTGGAGATGTAAAAACTTCAAACTTAAGGATAGTATGTATCACCATAGGAAGACGATCTGATTAGATTTTGGAGCACGTAGGTCAAAGGTCAAGGGTCACAGAGGTCAACTTATGAAATTCCATACATTGAGATTGTTATCATAATATCTCAAGAACCATTTAAATGGGTGAGTTACAATTTTTCCCCTCTTTACTATTTTACACCAAACATAGCTTTTACCTTCTCAGCTATAATTTTCCCTTTCTCCTTGAAAAATAAAAGTTTTGTTGTTGAATTAAAAAGTCTTTCCAACTAAAGTTTAGTGCATGATACATTTACATTTACAGCGTACACATTCTCCTGGTACATCACATCAAGAAAATGGCTGCATCTATTTCATGCTTAAAGGCATTTTATCTTTTGGGTGCAAGAATGTAGCCAATGAGAAGCGTCCATGACGAAAACTCGTCGTTTAAAATTGAAACCCCCATTTGACTTTTACTACTGCTAGAGCTAAGCCTAATGTACTAGCGCTATACAATGTAATCCCCCTGCCAATACCTTGACGGGGGGGGGGGGGGGTAATAGAGAGGGAGAGAGAGATACATGTAAGCATGATAGAGGGAGAGAGGAAGGGAGAAAGAGTGCTAATTTTCACAATTAAAATTGTTGTTATATCACCAATTCTGGGTCATTATGCTTCGTTCGAACTTTCATTATGGTCTTCATTCAAATTATAAATGACTTTTGGACATGAAAATATCTTTGAAAAAGTAAAATATATATTTCCTACTTCTCATTTCCTTTCTTTTAACGAGAGTTTTTCGTAATGCAAAATGGATCACTTGACCATGTATTATTTTGTACCATCTGCATGGGGTGCATTTTGGTGATACATGTATATGTACTGCATAAACTGTTTTGTTGAACATACATGTAAAAATTAATGGAAGTGACTTTAAAACTCTGACTTTAAAACAAAAATCTGATAATCTGTATAATTATTTCCTTTTCCATTTTATTGAATTTTCAGTATGGGGAAGAGTGGAGAAGAAGTCAATTCAATGCAAAATGTTAAATTCACCTTTATTTTATTCAATCTTTGCATTGAAAAATTGTTTAGAAAAATGCTTGTATGTGCAAATGGTATGGGTTGTATGGATTCAAAATGGCTGCAAATTTCAACTGGAGCTGCCAAGAATTGGTTGCCAGGTTACGGTACACAGTACTTTATTAATGCACGGCCACCATTGCAGTTCATAAATCATTTTACAATTGTATCCTGGTTTATGCATGCACACTCAGTGAATAGACAGGAGACCCACACTGGCAATGTATTGTACAATCACCGTGGTGATAGCTAAACAATAAGCTAGGGAAATCCCCTCCCACCACCCTGGTTTGCCAGTTACTGTTTGAAATGTACCAACCTTTGGATTGAATTGAATTGATATTGCTGGGAAATTTATTGATTTTTCTCTCATCAAATATTTGCTCTCTGTCATATCACATTATTTACTAAGCCGTATTATCTAGATGTACTATTTTCTTCTGTCTACCGGTACCTCAAAGTGTTTATGTTATGCAATGAAAGTGTACATCTTTGGTTTACACTTGTGTTTTGTTAGTTAGGAAAATTGTTTGAAAGCTTTCAATTTTTATGGAATATATGTACAGTATCAACAAAAAAATATAAACTTTTAAATGTTCACTGGAACCCTTTGGAGGTTTGCATTTGAAAAATTTCTTAAGGAAAATTATAATTTTTTTTTTTTAGTGCAGATTAGAAAATGTGCATACATCGTGTTGCAGATAAGCCTGAATCAGATGACCGGGGTAATAATATGTGCTGTACCTAGAAACAAAGTATTAGATGCATTATAAATGTGAGCTGTTTTTACTATTATTGTTTCACATCTTATACTAATAAAACAGTTCTTGTAGTATAAACCTGAAGTTCAAAAAACTTGTCTGAGTGTCCTTCCGTTACCGTGGAATTGCCCTTCTATTAAAACCAACTTGATATCAGGGTGGACTTCCCCTTTAAAAAAAAAAAAAAAAATTATTTATTTTCAACCAATTTCCTCATATAGCACGTCGGTCTGATAGCTGTGTTTGTTCATGCACGCACTATGGACCTGGTAAGTGGTAACGTAGCAACAGCGTCATGCGTAAGATGTGCGTAAGATATTGAGTTTAGTGATTTTCTGTTGTACTGTATATGGCTTCTTTTGCCATCTGAGTATCGGTAGTACAGGTATGTTTTAGAAAGAGCCCCAAATTTGTGGCTATACACTACAGTTGTATAGGTGTACAGTGTAGCTTTCTTCTTTTATTGTCCTCTGGGAATATATGTAAGGTTCAGAAAGCAGATAGGACGTACATATACATGTATGTGCTCTTTTTATATCCACAATAGAGCCTATTGTGAACTTGTCATGTGCGGAGCATTGGAAACCGTGTATTCAACAGCAAAGGTTGGTTTTCTGGTTGATTTCTAGTCGAAGGTTGTTTTGTATGTGTGCTTAGAAACGTTAAAGATTTATATTGCAGATTCTACTTGTATGCATATATGAATGTTCTATTTTTCTTTGAATACTAGAAGTAGCTTTGGTAGTTTTTTGGTGTTTTTTCATGCAGTATTAAAACAAGAAATGCCCTTTCCTTTTCTTTTTCTTTTCTTAATGCAGGAACTGCAGTCATACATGAGAGACAGGGTGAGACTAATTCAGCTTGATTTGGAAGAAGGGAGAAAATGACAAGCTTTCTTCTAGGCTTTATGTGTATCAGAACATTAGGTTTAACTCAAGGAAATCAGGGATAGGAATATCTCAAGTCACGTCACATCACGAGATCACCATGAATGTGTTGTGTTTGCTGTCCAGATGATTTATATCACTTTAGCCAGCCATAATGGATTTTAGGCGCCGATTGACCGATAATTGAGTTCAATTTCATGCTTGACCCTGTCGATCTGCCTCTGCAAATTAGCTACAAAATTTGAATGCTGCCAGTTGCCAACATATTCTTTCAGGGGAGATCTACATATATGACTTAATTGGGATATCTGTTTTGTAAAGACATGAAACTTCATCACAGAAATGATTTGAGCAAGCAGTGCCATCAGCGTCCATCTTGGAAGAGATATTGCATACATGTGCGGGGACGTCGTGACTAGATGGGCAAAGATTCTGAAAGTGAAGTGAAAATTCAGACTCGTTATCTCATCACAGCTCAGTCAAGATGGCCAATGTTTGTTTCACCAGTGCCAACGTTTGCAACTATACATGCACTTCCCCTCCTCCTCGGCTTCCTCCGGAACCTAATTGTAAGTCTGATTTCTTCTTTTTTATGCCTCGGCTACAAAGTGGCCGGAGGCATTATGTTTTCTAGTTGTCCGTCCGTACATACAAGTGTACGTCCCGTTCTTGTGATCACGTTATCTCAGGAACCGATTGATGGATTACCGCCAAACTTGAGTCATGATGTAGGGGAGAGTGGGGTTGGTTGGAACATTTTTCAGAAAAATGACTCTATAACGCAATTAAAATTGATTCAGGATTTAATAACTATATCAGTTCAAGCATACATCTGTGTGTTACAAATACAGCATATAACATTTTAAGACTTGTTTTTTTGTTATTAAAATAATCAACTTTGAAAAAGTTATCTCAGCTGTTTCAACTAACCCCATGCATGGGGTTAGTTGGAACATGACATGGGGTTACTTGGAACATGGTGTGTGGTTACTTAAAAACTACACTGTAACTACTTACAACTGTTGTTAAATGATTTTAAAAATCAATTTAAAAATCAATATGGTATGCCCTAATGATCAACAACAATCAACAACACTTAATTAAGGCTACACAGTCTTTTAGTTAGTCTTCTTCTGAGTCTGCTTGAGACCTTTTGCAGTCACTGAAGTCTGTAGGTGTCTCAAGGGGGCTACGGTGAGATTAGCTGAAAAGACGATGTAGACTTCACGGGTTATAAAGTTGTTTACTATTGTTACAAATTGTATGCCGAACTATTTGTTTCCAAAACAATATTTCAGGTTCAGAACCTTCACCCTAATAGACCTATAGCTCACTATATCTCACTGTCGAAAATTCGAAATTTCGAAATCAGAAAATTGCACTAAGTCCGACTACGTCATCAACCGGTGGCCTATATAGGTACCAAATCGCTGCCATGGCAGCGTCACAGGCCTGGCTCGCTATGGGTGATCAAGGGATTGGGGTGCGAGAGGTCCCGGGTTCGAATCCCGGGTGAACCACTCTTTTTTTATGTATATTGAAATGAGAAACAAAAACAGGGTTAGGGTTAAGGATGTACAACATTTAAGTTAGTCTCCTTTGAATTCTGCCTAAAACTCCTGCCATGATTACAATAGGAGTCTCAAGCAGGTTGCGAAAGAGATGCGACAGATATGATCTACCCTTAAAGTTTGAAATCAAGTAATTTGGAATAGTAAAAAAACTTCTAAAGGCCTACTGTTCATCACACATTTATAACCCATTTTATGTTACGGTTCAATAAATTCATAACTATAAAGTTTATTTCAAAATAGGCCAGACCATTCCTAGAAAAATAGGCCCAACCCTAAACTATGCACATATCACTGACCTTCATTCAAGTGCAACTTCAAGATGATTTTTGTAATCTTTAAAAAAGTTCAGGAGATGCCCTAAAAGTGGGAATTGGAAATTTGTGCATAAAAAAAACTACATTTGATTTCAACATGATCTGAATTTGTGAATATAGGGCCTATTTACTAGCGTAGGCCTACATTTAACACAATTATCATTATGTGGGTAGACCTAAGCTTACTACAGCACGCTTTCATGTGAAAAAAAAAATACAGTAATATGCATTCACTTTACATTTAATTAATATGATGGGGTTGGTTGGAACATGTTCCAATAAACCCCCTGCCCAATGTTTCAACTAACCCCGAGAGCACATGCATAGCAGATGTTTAAACTTATTGTGCAAAACATGGCATACAACTGCACACCTATTTAGCCTTATTTTGTAGCTTAGTATAAGAGCCTAACATACCAAAAATATAGCCACATGAATCTACAAACATCATAGAGATAATACAAAATTTCTTAATGTCAAAAAATTTAGTCAAAAGTTGAAAAATCAAACTTTCCTTTCTAACTCCAAGAAGACTGAGATCCATGTGCTGTACATGTAGGTAATGTGGTATGTGGGGGTTGCTTTTGCACACCACCTAATGGCAGTGTTTCTAGAAATTAATTGTTGATTTTTAGGAAAATCTCAATGTTTCAACTAACCCCGCGTTCCAAACATCCCCACTCTCCCCTATGTATCTTGCAGAGCTAATGAACTGATTAGATTTTGGGGTCATGAGGTCAGAGGTCACAGGGCTCATTATGTATGCAAATATAGCTTGTGATCGCGTTATCTCAAGAACTGATTGATGGATTAACGTCAAACTAAACTTGTGTCATGTATGTTCTTGCAGAGCCAATAGAATACTGAAGCTGTGACATCATAAAAATCTATTTTTAGAATTTCTCAATTTTTTTCTTCATTTTCCAAAAGAGCATAAAAAATAATGTCAGAATGTCGAAAACCAATTGAATATGTTATGTATAGGCTGAGATATATGACCATCTGAATAAATAGATGTCCTATAGGAACTCAGTGTTATATTGCTCATTGGCATTAATTAAAATGCTTGTAACTTCAAATACATGTGCTTATAAAAGATGTGATGCCTTATCGTTAAATAAAATCCCGCCATTCGCTCTAGGCCTACCCAGTAGCGCATAATTTTGTCTACTATTTCTCACTCTGTAACTCTATGCAGAAGTGTGTGCGTGCAGACGAATGAGTGGTTTCCAAAATAAAATAAAATTAATAAGAAAGTTCTCAGATAGGCCTCTTCAAACCTGGTGATAGTACCACAGAAAGAGGATCTGACAAGGTCACAGAGATCAAATCCTAGTAATATACCTGCCAACCCTCCCGAATAATCCAGAATATCCTGTTTTTCTGGATTTCTAGGACCCCAAAATCCGGGATATCCAGAATTTTCAAAATTTCGATTTTTTTTTTTTTTTTTTTTTTTTTTTTTTTTTTTTTTTTTTTTTTTTTTTTTAAATTTAATTTTTTTTTTTTTTTTTTTTTTTTTTTTTTAAATTTCTGAATCAACATTGGTGTGGTCCCAAACATGAAAGTATTCCCTACTTTTCTTTTTATTTCTCTAGTCTGTACGAATACTACAACTCCAACTCCAACTGGTGAGTGATACTATAATTTATTAAAAAAAACATATATTTGTTTATTTTTTGTTAATTTATTTGTTTTAATAATAACTTTTGTTTTTCTTTTTTTTTGCATGATTAATGACCATTGCATGTGCGTTTGGATGGCTAATGTGCTCTTTGTAGATATACATGTAGATTTGTAATGCTTTTTAATTATAAAAAGTAGTTATTTTGTGAAAACTAGTAATAATTGTATCGAGCAATAGAAATTGCTGTATGAAACTAAATGGTCATATATTACACAAAGCTCTCTATATAGCAATTAATTGTATAATTGATAGATACATGTGCATGTAGATCCAGTCGTACAATCAGTTTCTATTAATTAAGCTTTGTCCAGAGAAGGATTGGCCACCAATTCTTGATTTTATTCACTTGTTTTCACCATATGAATTTACTGTTTTTATTACTCGGTATATTAATTTGAATCAGGCGATATAATTTCAAAAATTATACGGTATATGTTTATGAAATAGATACAGAGCCAAACTTGTTTTAATTTGAATAAACAAAGTAGAAAAGTTGAATATATGGCAGAAATTTGATTTAGGATTTCAATTATGTTCAGTTCAGTTTTATTCTCAATTTGATCCCTTCCAATAGTCCCCTGCCGTATGTCCTGTGTAATTTACAATGCTGTTTGTAATGAATTTGAATCTGTGCCTTAATTGCATTGTGCATGATAAACTCCACACTTGCAATGCAGTGCCATCACTAGACCAATCTCTTCTTTTGAAGAATGTCGAAGTATGTACATCAGTGAAAAAAATACACGGGGCTCGGGGCGAATTAGCCCCCAAAATACCAAAAAGAGCCCCAGAAAGTCATAAAAGAGCCAAAAAAAATTTGCACAGAGTTCAATGCAAAACAAATTAAAGAGTGTTATTTTCATGCAAGCGAGGTTGAAACGTAGCCCCCAAAATTTTTTTAAATAATTTTTTCCCTGATGTACATACATGTATATGAACACTGCAGTCCCATATTAACATATTAAACTCATCAAGCAATTATTTGTCCATTCATATCAACATTGACTGCATGCTTCATCAGGAAATACCACCACTCCAACGGTGACTACTACCAACGGTACAGGTTTGTACATATCATTTTTTATTAGTGATCAAGAAAAAGGATGTTTTTTTTCTTTTGTGTTACTGATTTTCTTCTTCAATTAAAGTGTACCACAGTATTGGTGAAGGACATCAATTTTTGTTTTTTATAAAATTCTTCACCAAAGGTGTTGACGGAGGCATGTTTTGGGTTGTCAGTCCATCCATCTGTACGTCTATCCGTCTCTCTTTCTCGTAAATGCAATATCTCAAGAACCACTTGAGGTATGAACTCCAAACTTGGTGGTAGTATGTATCACCATAGGAAAACAATCTGATTAGATTTTAGAGTTAGTACATGTTGGTCACAGGTGAAAGGTCATAGATGTCAACAGAGGAGCAATTTGGGAACGATTTATTGTTGTCGTCAATGTCTGACCAGGCCTTATGCATAATTACCATCATGTTGTCATAGTAGGAGTGTATAAACACCACATTCATTATCCTGGGGGGTGTTTCATAAAGCTGTTCGTAAGTTACGTATGACGTTACGAATGACGTAAATATGAAAAGCCAAATGGGATGCTCAATCATTTTTAACTGCGTCAACTAAAGTTGAACTGTGCAGATGTAGATTAACATTCTTATTATAACAAACGTTTTCAATGCAAAGTATATTTTTTGCCATAATTTAATTGAGGTTATTGGAAATATAGTCACATTTTGTTAAAACATCAGGAAAAACTTTGGGCATCCTATCTGGCACTTCATATTCAAGTCGTTCGTAGAGTCATTCGTAACTTTACGAACAGCTTTATGAAACACCCCCAGTATACTGTTGTATCATTAGATATTTATAATGTATTCACCCTATCCAATTGGGTGTTGAATGCAATCTAAGTGGTAATTGCTTTCCTTCATATCTCATCAAAAAACTTGTTGTTCCATTTTGTAATGAAATTACTGTCCAAGTCTGTTCCTCATCAATTCAATGCTATTATTATAAACCAAGGCTATATCCATTTTCATACATGTACATGTATATGAAACACACACGTACATGTATATAAAGTATTTCTCTTTTCAAAATCAAAAGGGCATAAAACTACGTTAAACAGTATTCACATGAACCTGACCCTGGGACACAAGGACAACTCTGACCTCGGACTATTACTTCCTTGCTTAATTCTGATTTTGCCTTAAAGAGAAGGTCGAGTTCTGGGAAGAGGTGAAAAATAATTTGTGAGCATTACTCATTCTTATTATGCAAGTGTGGAAGAACATCAGTTAAGCATGTTCCCTGAAAAACATGGCTCTTTAAATGCCTTCATATTCTAAATATGCATGTAACATCGTAAAAATCGGGGGGGGGGGGGGCGGCTTTTTACGCCACATGTTCGTGTAGTCCCATATATCTTTCTGTGCAAGTGTTTGTAACTTTACCAAGACTTGGCCACGTTTCTTATCATTTTGATGATTCCAGAACCTTGCAATACACACAAATTCTTATATGCTAGATGATCAACCTTTTCTGGTCGGTTCCACACCGTTTCTTTCACAATGCAATCGCATGACCAGAACTCAACTTCATCTTTAAGCCTTATAACCCTGAGTCCAGTATAAATGTCACTTTAATGATTAACCCATTTTTGGCTGTCAGCAGACAAGCTGATGTGTTCCTCACTAATCTTATGAACAGAAGCTCATTGGCATTTAGGAGTGGTGAATTAAGAATGCACAGTGACATATTATGCTACGTGCTGTTGCCGTGGAAATGATTTGTTTGCTACAGCACATAAGTCAACTTTACATAGTGGCCCTGGCATATCATATGGAATTCCCTGCCTTTCGATCAAATGAATAGTCAGTCAGTGTTTGCAGCAGTAAAAAAAATGCTGCTCTCCCAATATACTGTTCAATCATGAATGTTTATATCTGCGATAATTATGTGCAATCTGTAAAATGAATTTAAATGAATTTATGAAATGAAAATTATTGCATGCCTCCATGGATGTTTAGCTAGCGGGAGGCAATGCATGATATACATTTGTACATGTAGGTTGTTGCTCTGGAAAAGCATTGTTCAAACTTCAAATAAATCATGTTGCATTCGTACATTGTCAGACTTCAGTTCAGATCTAACAAAGACATGACAGAGCTTTTTTTGTGTGTAAAAATAGAGGGTGTGCCCCCCAGAGGGGAAAAGAATCACCGTTATCTCTCTCTATCTATCTCTCTCTCTATCTATCTCTCTCTCTCTCTCTCTCTCTCTCTCTCCCCCCCCCCCCCCTCCTTCCATCTCTCTCTCTCTCCCCTCTCTCCCCTCCCTCCCTCTCTCTCTCTCTCTCCCTCTCCCTCTCTTCTCTCTCACTCCCTCTCCCCCTTCCTCTCCCCCTCCCTCCCTTCTCTGTCCTCGACTGTTTCAATAAATTTCACTTCTCTCATTTCTTCTTTATCTCTTCATCTTGTCTCTTTGTCTCTCTAAAGAAGTAAAATCATTCTCAATTACACCGTTCCCTTAAGCACAGATAAATGGATGCTGGGAGCAACTTACTTTTCACACAAAAAAGAAATGCTGTTTTCAAATCTTTCTTCCAATGGGTTTAAAATCTCTTAACAAAGTAGTTTGAATAAAAAGAAATCCTTTGTGAATAAAATGTAAGTTCTACCCCAGTACCTACAATGCATTGTCCTCAAATGGGACTAGGAAAGGAGAATGCTGTGTTGTTTTCACAGTCCTTCATCCTAATAATTCGTCCTTGTTTTCACGAAGTGACGGTAGCGAGGAAAATCGTAATGCAAAGTGAATGCAATTTTTTTTCACTACCGTCACTTCGTGAAAACAGCGACGAATTGTGATCCAGTTATAAAAATCTTTTTCTTTTGGAGCCCCCAAATAATTTTATAACATTTATTTGTTGTTGTACAAATGCCATTTTTGGTACAGGGCTTCCTTAGGACCTACTGAACGATATTAGGGTAGGAATTATAAGGGTGTGGGGCAGGGGCGTCGCCTCGTAGCCCCCAAATAATTTAGAAAGTAATACAGTATTATAACATTTATTTGTTGTTGTACAAATGCCATTTTTGGTACAGGGCTTCCTTAGGATCTACTGAACAATATTAGGGTAGGAGCCCTCAGCAAGAATAGCATATAAGGGTGTGGGGCAGGGGCGTCGCCTCGTAGCCCCCAAATAATTTATAAGGTAATATAACATTTGAGTTTTTCTTGTACAAAAGCCGAGGGCTCCTACCCTAATATCGTTCAGTAGGTCTTAAGGAAGCCCTGTACTAAAAATGACCTTGTACAACAACAAATCAATGTTATAACATTATTTGGGGGCGCAAAAAAGACGCCCCCGCCTCCACACCCTTAAATTGAAATTTTGCTGGGGGCTCCTAACCTAATATCGTTCAGTAGGGACTAAGGAAGCCCTGTACCAAAAATGGTGCTTTTATCTGGCAAGTAATGGTAATTTCACTAAAGCCACCTGACTAACATTGTTGTTCATATTTTGCTTTTAAAAGCTAAGCTTGCTTTACTGAATGTACGTCTGTACATTGTACATGGCTGCTCCATAAAGATCGAGTCTCCTGTTTTATCTCGCGTCTCATTGGCTTGCCTTAAAGGGGCATGTTCCCCGTATTCCAGAGGGCGCTCAAAATACGTACGCGCTATAGCTGCCTATTGACACCAACAGAATACGGCTCTTACGCAGATGGCAAGTTCCGATAACTACACTGGCGGGAACGTGCCCCTTTAAGTGTTTCTGTGTTCAAGTTTTCAGGTTTGATGTCTTTTTTTTTTAATTGAACATGCATCAGGTTTGATACTGGATTGCAAGTGTTTAGGTCTTTGTCCGATTCCTGACTGGCTCTGATGAAATGCTGTTTCAGGCTTTTCAGTTCTTCAGGCTCCATATTGTAAAGAATGCATGGAGCTCCGCTATGTGTGGGCATCAATGACAGCTTCGTCAATTAAAGCCAACCGGCATCTTTGTTAGCATGTTAATACAATTCATTATACAGCTTGAAGACAAAATGTTACTCGCACAATGTACATGTATGTGTAAAATCATTGCTAGCATCCATGGAACTTTATAAGTCTTTAGTCCCAGGTGCACTCCGTGATGTTTGGTAGAAAATCTGTTTGTGAAGCGTTATGTTCCACCTTTCATGTTGCTGTCAACACATGTTTCATTTTTCATTGGCACCTATTTTTAAATTCGATAATTTTCTTTGGCTTCTATGCCTTTCATGGTGCTGTCAGCAGACATTTCAATTTTCATTGGCACCTACTTTTAAAGTTGATAATTTTCTTAGGCTTCTCTGGTTGACTGGTATCTTGTCAGCTTGTCCTCCGAAGAAAATCTTATTTTTGGATCTTATTTTTTAGCCGAACCATCAACAACAGGACCCGGTCCAAATACTGGTACGACGGACCTGCATACCACTGTGCCCAGCCCAATCACTGTTGAGCTTTCGTCTCCAGCTGATACAAACCCCACCCCAGAACCTGGACCAAGCACTAGTCCTACTAATTTGTATACTAACGCAATATCTCCAGAAGGATCATCTTCTAACACAGGTAGTTGTTGTAGCAGTTATGGAACCAGGGAATAGCAATTACTATGTCATCGATTGTTAACAACAAATAATACAGGAGCAGGGAGGGTTTTGTCATTTGAAAGGTGAAGAAAAACACTGGCCCTTAAAAAGTGAAAATAGGTCCATACAAAAATTATAGTACATATATGTAACATATATATGCATTTGAATCATCACAAGGAAATATTACTGATATAACAAATTTGAAAAGATAGCTGTGAACAAAATGTCGTTTATAATTGGGTGTATTATTAGTCCTGCAGTGCATCATTACGTTAGCTGGACCTACCTGTAATTATTGGAACCAGAGGAAGCCTGCATGAGCTCTACAAGACAAACCTTAGCACAGGGAATAAGTAGAGTCTTGGTCAAGGCCTCGTCACTTTATGCCTAGGTCACATTTGCCGCCACCGCCGCCGTGCGATCTAAACTATCTACGGCCAATAGCAATTATAGGGCCGCCGCAGCATTCCCACGGTCACATACAGTAGCAGTCACATTATGTTAGGGTAGCCGCACAACGTATTTTGAATTTGTAGCTGAAAACGTGCTACTGCCGTACAGCATTTGAAGTGATGTCGCACGGTTGCCTCAAGGCTGCCCTAGGGCACCCGTGGAATTCCTGCAGCCGCCGCAAATTTTTTGGTTTTGCAAAAGTCAATTGTAACTCATAAGACCCTAGGGCAGCCGCATTGCAAACGCATGGCCACCGTATCTCAACGTTTGGTCGCCGTGGAACTGCTCTACGGCATGGCTACGGTGTGTCAAATTCCTATGGCGAACCTAGAAATGAAAAAAAGTTATAACTCCACATTATAATCCCACAGCGATCCATACGCCCTGCAAAGATAGGCATATATATACGCCCTAGGGTGACCCTGAGGCCACAAGTATCTCATGATATTGGGTGTGTACGGTCACCGTATCCTTGCCGCAGAGCAAATGTGACCTAGGCATTACTAGCCATTTTGGATACATGTGTTTGTGCAATCCACCTTGCTTGATCCGGCCCAAGACTCAGGGAGTCATGATGCCAACGCTGAACAAGAGTTAACATTATGATGAAAGACCTAGAATCGTTCGGTTTAGACTCAGTTTGGAGATGGTTTAAAGTCGTTTTGGTCGTGTGACGGAGGTATTGGACCTGAATACATATTCTGGAACAAGTGTTGTTGTTTTTTCTTCATATTGTTTCGTTATTGTACCTACTCTGTTCATGTAAATGTGCTGTGAGTAGAGGGGAATTCTTTAAAAGTGACAGTAACACTATCCCTGGACCCTGGTACAAAAGCTCGAGAACAAGTGATCTGGCAATATTTTCTGTATATCATGTTTAAAGGGAGATGAAAATTATCAAATGGTCCCTTTTTGGAATGGTGTATTTTTGTGTAAAAGCAACATTGTGTATTCCCAAGGAGGAAGTAGACATACATGTATATAATTCTTTTGGGCAGTGTGGTAGTTTATTTCCAAATTTATATAAAATCAATACTTAATCCATGATTTGAATCTTTAGAAAGGAAGACCAATTACTTGCACAGCAACATTGTACAAGCAGTGAAAGTGCCGCACTATTTAAAAAATACACACCTGTACAATGTTTCTGTGTTGTTGTTTTTAACCCAAAGGGAGCCTCGGTTATTTTTGTGTACAGTCTTTTTTTTTAATGTTGACATTCTTAATGATCATTAATAATAATCTGGATATGTATAGCGCATAATACAAAAAACCGTCTCTATTAAAGTGCTTTACAGATATTATATTGGAGGTTTAATAGAGGATTATTAAAGTTGTAAAACAATTACAATTGGTAAACACAGAAAGTACAACTGAGATTTCTACAACTTCAACGACCCTTACACCAGATGGAGATGGAACCACACCCTTCGAAACTACTACCACTACTGCCACTGTTACTGATCTAAACACAGCAAGTCTAGGTACGGGCACAACAACACCAGGTAATGGCATTACAACAACAAAAACGACGACAACAACACAAGGTACTGCCACAGCAACTTTACCCTTTGACCCTACCACTAGTTATGTGAGTAGTGGTAGTGGCAGTACGGAGAGTGGTAAGACATTAAGTGCTTCCGTGTTTCCCTTCCCTACTCCAACAATGTCGTCAGTGGTCTTTGTCATTAATTTTGCTTTGTCCTGGGGTATGTTTAACATCACTGCAATTCATCTCGAAGACCTACTATTTCATTTGCTTTGCAACTCCTCTCCATGAAATGTTTCATCACTCCTAGGCTTTGCATTCATACGTGAATATCGGTTGTTAAATGCTGTGTAGGACAAACTCTAATTAAGCTCCATAGAATTACACTTTAAGGAAGTCTTCTGCATCCTGTTTTAGCCAATGTATTTTGTATTTTAGCCTGTGAACCAGTCACTTTCTTTCCATTTCATTTCATTTCATTCATTCAATTCCAAGTCCAGATAAAAACAATATCATATACTATTCAAAATAGTGAGATATCATGAAAAGCACATGGCTTGTCCACAAGGTTGACTCATCATTTGATTGAGATTCATTGAATACTTGTCTATCAACATCTTATTCTTTTTTTTGATAATATAGGGAGAATTATATAATGGAAAAAAGTATATATAATTTGTGATCTACCTTTTAACAAAGAAATGAGCAAGTACAAGTATATCCAACTAATCAAAAGTTTGTACTAGACACTTTACTACATCCGCTTCCTTGAACAAATTCCTAGAATTGATGAGTCTCAGCCCTATTTTGTTATTCATTGCAATCATAAATAAACCGTTCTCTCATGCATCATGCCATGTCCATTTATGTTTGTCTTATCATGTCATGTCACACCCCCCCCCCCCCCAATTTCCAATCATAAATATATTGATAATCAGACAGGCGATTGGCTTGTAAAAGTCATGGGGTTCCTAACTGACCTAAAGGTTTATAATTATCATTGCAGCATGACCTAAATCCAGGATTTTGTTTCAGAATCTGAGACAAATTTACCCAATCCCTTTTTAGCTCTAATATATATACCTGCTTGAAATCCATCATATAATCTTGGTTTTATGCTTTTTTGGAAAAATAATTTTCAAAGATGGGATTATGAAGTGGTGAAATTACAGAATAATCTGTACAAGATTATTGTGAAGATTATAAAAACTGTTCAGAATAAAACTTGCACAGAATATTCTGTAGATTCAAGAGTTCCTATATTTCTTTAGCTTTAGTATAGTAATTTCGTCCCTGTTTTCACGAAGTGATGGTAGTGAGGAAATTCGTCACGCAAAGTGAATGCAATTTTTTGTCACTACCGTCACTTCGTGAAAACAGAGACGATATGTTGTAACCCGGGGGAAATGGCAAATCAGTTAACATGGTGCACTTTGTGGAAAGACTTTATTAATGTTTGAACATCAGGAGTGGGATGGGAAGGTGAAAGTGAATACCCCAGTAACACTAAACTAGACTGACATCAGACTGACAAAACGTCAAGCAAAATATTACAATACCCCCAATGGCCATGAATCAGTTGTGTTGTTGGGGTAGAGTAATGGGCACGAGTACTTATCCGTTTCTTTCTTGTACCAGCCTGGGAAGTGATTTAAAGGTAAAGACCAGTTTTGGAAACGCCCCCCCCCCCCTCAAAAATGGAAGCTCTTATTACCAATCATGTGAAAGAATATATTGTTTTGACTAATACATGATGATACAAATTTTGCCAGGAAAACCGCCTACTAGCTAATTTATATATTTGGTAAATTATTATATCTATCTGGACTAGATAGATATAGGGTATATTCCCATATACATCTTTCTGTGTACAGTGCTTGTAACTTTACCAAGACTGGGCCAAATTTCTTATCATTTTGATGATTCCAGAACCTTGCAGTAGGCCTACACACCAATACTTACATGCTAGATGATCAACCTTTTCTGATCAATTCCACACCGTTTCTTTCACAATGCAATCACATGACCAGAACTGGTCTATACCTTTAATGTACAATATGTAGAATGTATAGTGAATGACTGGAATACGTGTAACAGATTTGAAATGAAACTCATTTGAAATATTCTGGTACCACAGAAATAATCACCGATATTGCATCATCTTCTTTTGGTACCACAACTAACGATGATGGCACTGCCCCGATGGTTACTGCCAAAACGAGCCTTATATCAGATGGGACAACTCTGTCCAATCCAACAACACTTGAACCTACCGCAAATACTATAAGTGATGGTATGACTGGTAAAAACAGGAATACTCTGCATTTGATCATATATTTCTGTTTGCATGGATCAATGAATTTCCTCTCTTCATTTTACGATCCATCCATTTATCATCAAAAGTGATAGTGATAAAATACTTCATTTCCAACAGTTTTGTTCTGATCACCTTCCATTTATTTCTTTGATGGAGAAAGCTTACATGAGCACACTTTTATCACAAATGAGATTCAGCCCTTCAATATTATCATTTTTTGCAAATTCATACACAATTGACTAAAAATTATTCTTTTATCTCACTTAGACTTTCATTGTTTTTTTTTGTATTAAGCAGAGCTACCATTTTGTATAAATTTCATTTACATCATTCTGAGTACTTGCTCCTAGGATTGTTTTTAAAACTATGGAAATTTACACACCATTTTATTGATTGCACTTTTAAATAGATAAAATGGATATGGATAATTATAAACTGGCTAATTCCTTGTCAGTTTTTTTCTGCACTTACGACTCTAATCACCAGATCATCTCAATATCAATTGATGTTTCCATCCCTGTTGGCTTGGACAATGGATTCCGTTCATGGCCCCTATCCTATTCTATTCCATCTGGGGGTGTTTCATAAAGCTGTTCGTAAAGTTGTGCATGACTTTACAAATGATTTATATATGAAAAGCCAAAGAGGATGCTCAATCGTGTTTAACTGCATCAACTACAGTTGAACTGTGCAGATGTAGATTAACATTCTTATCATAACAAACATTTTTAATGCAAAGTATATTTTTTGCCATAATTTAATTGAGGTTATTGGAAATATAGTCACACTTTGTTAAAACATCAGGAAAAACTTAGCGCATCCTATCTGGCACTTCATATTCAAGTCATTCGTATAAAGTCATGCGTACGGTAACTTTGCGAACAGCTTTATGAAACACCCCCAGCTCTGGTTTGTGCCATACATGTTGGCTTTGGTCAGGAGCTAGCAACCATTTCTTTTTCGGGGGGGGGGGGGGGGGATGCAAACGAGCATTTGTTGCAACACTGCGCTATTGAACATGTCTACTGAAAGAAATTGAAAAGTGAGGAGGGATACTGCAGGCAGGCTGTAGCATGCCACCCCTGCATTTTGTCTATGTTCACAGACAGGCGATTGTTCCAAACTTGCAATTATCAAATCAGTTCCAGTTTTACTCATAAATTTCACCTGCTGCTCATGCTATATCATAACCACCCCAAGATCTTTCACCACAGATCCAAAGTTGCCTCATTGATCATATTAGGCCTGTCTTCACTATCTCGAGATTGCCAAATATCCAGCTATTTGAACTGTCCCGATCGCAAACTATCCAGCTAATTTGCGTCTTCATCAGACCGAAGTAGCAATATTAGCGGTATACTTCGGGGTTACTTCCCAAACCAGAAATAGCGGGCTTTTTGGCAATCTCGAGTTGATGAAGACGCGCCTTATGTGTATTTGTCTATGTTCACAGACAGGCGATGTACCAAACTTGCAACTATCAAATCAGTTCCTGAATTTCACTAATCAATTTCACCTACCACTCATGCTATATATCACAAACCACGTACCCCAAGATCTTTCACCATAGATCCAAAGTTGATCTTATTGATGGACGTCTTGCATCCATATAGATACATGCCAACTGTTCAGATTAAAGAGGAACATTCCTCTTTTTGGGAGAAGATAATTATCATTTTAATGCAGGTGTTCCTCTTCCTGTACAAATTTGTCTGTAGTATTGAATAGGAGAGTTAGAATTGTTCCTCTTTTTTTTTTAAATAGCATAATTTGTACAGATTTCTGATTTTCAAATGTTGGCATGTATGCATATACATGTACATCTCTGTCAGCTAGTTATATCTGTGTTCAGGGAAGAATCCAAAATCGATCCTCCGTTCCTTTGGGTATTTCTGATACATAATTAGTAAAGACCAAACTAAACTCTTTCAATTAATCTTGATGCAAACACAGTTGTTTCAGCTTGTCATATTAGATTCAAAGTCATTCTTGTGATCTTCCAGAGGTGGCCGGAGCCCACTGGAAGATTCTCAACTCTTAACGTGTCAATTACAAACATAATTATGTCACAAATAAATTTGAACAAGTCAGGGGATTTGGAAAGAAGCACTCAAAGTTGGTAATGTCAATCATACACTAAAAAAGTAGACAGTCCCTTTTATCTTGTCTCATATTTAGAGTATCCTCCTACTCCCTAATTGTAAAGGTCTCAAACAGGAAATAGGTTAAAATTGTGGCATTTTAAATGATCCATCAGGAATAAATCAGAGAAAAATCAGGGAATTTTATTGGGCATTTATTTGATTTGATTGATTTAAATTTATTTCTACATTTCACCAATAAATTTGAACAAGTAATTATACAAACAAACAAATACATTCAAAAAACGAAATACAATTAAATGAATAAATTGAAGACTAAAGTAAATAGACTAATAAGACTAAAGTAAAATATTACATAATCAACAATTTGTTTGTAATTAACATAACATGAAATATGGGGGAACCAAAAAGAAGCAATGCTTGTCAAAAATGTTTGGTTCCCAGGGGTAATTGTGTCTAATCAATGATTAAATGTCTGTTAGTGATTTTTCTTCTGCATCATGGATGACTGGTATTACTGACGCATTAATCCACTTACCATCCACTGTCATCCATGCTACATTACATCATGTACTGGTCTTAATGACATATTAATACACTTACCATCTACTGTCATCCATGTTCCATTACATCATCAGGCCAAATATTTAAAAAAAAACATGTTTAGCGTCCTGCTTTTTTGAAAAATAGGAAGGAGCAGGCCCTTTTTTTTTTCTTCAAAATGGCGCTCAAAATGGCCACTCAGTACATTTTCCCTGACAGTCGGGCTATTTTTCAAGACGGCCGCTGAAAATTTTTTTTATTTTTTTTAAATCAGTTTATTTTAGCAGTGTTTTTCATGTTTGTTATGTTTTTTTTTTTAATTCATATTTTTTTTAATTAAAAAAAAAAAAAAACAGGGGGCGGCCCCCCCATAAAAGGAAGCAGGCGGGGACGCTAAACATGTATTTTTTTTAATGGCCTCATGTACTGGTAGGGTTCCCATGGCCCGCCTCTGCTGAAGATCGGGGAAATCCTGGAAAATGAGTTCCCTCTTGTCCAGTCAGGCTAGAGTTGTTTTTTTAAAGGTCAGGGGATTTGGAAAGAAGCACTAAAATTTGGTAATGTCAATCATACACTAAAAAAGTAGACAGTCCCTGTTATCTTGTCTCATACTGTATTCCTTCTACTCCCTCATTGAAAAGGTCTCAAACAGGAAATAGGCTGAAATTGTGGCATTTTAAATGATTCATCAGGAATAAATCAGAGAAAAATCAGTGAATTTTTTTTCTTCAAAAGTTGCTGGGAAGCCTGATTGCAGATGTCTTTATCCAATAAGGGTCTCTAGGTCAATTCATTCATTCATCACCCCTAAACCTAATCTAAAATCCCTTTGACAAAATATATAATGGATCATTTGTTGCTAGAGTATTTGTCTGCTTTTAAATAAT